GCGACTTTGTATTCCCTTCCTGGAGTATTCCCTTTGTTGAACCCTAGAGATGAAGAGTTGCCCTATATGGCTTTGTCCTTGAAATAAGACTTAAACTCCTGAAGGGACTACAATTTTTTGAAGAAAACCTTCTACGGTTAGCTTATAAGCTTCTTGAGGGTCTGTTCTTCTGCCACAACCTCATGCTTCCTTTTCTACCTCCTTTATGCCGTTCATAATATAGCCCATTTCTTCTATTAAGATTCTTGCTATTTGATACTGAAGTGTCATCTCTTCAGGGTCTCTTTCCAGGACCTGCCCTCTCCAAGACTTCTTTATAAGTTGGTCCTCTACTTTCCTTTGCTTACCTCTTTTATTTTTCTTAGCACACACTGGGGCTGCTGACTTACTCCTGTGGTCTTCATTAGATTGTGGAAGGTCTCTAGGGCATGGATCAGGTCCTGTGTGATTTTCTATATTAGTACTTAACCTCAAAAGAGTTCACCCTTTGTAGTTAGGAAGTTATAGGCTTGTGTTCCTAGCCTAATTCAGCAAGGCAGAGCAGGTGCTAGTCTCATTTCAAAAACAAGGACAATGCGTTCAGAAAAGTCACTTTGTTAAGAAATGCTAAATCAGGTCTGAAGCCTGGACGTTATGACTCACAGTCCACATTACTATTCTGCCTGTATGGCTCCTGCCTTTCCTCTCCACTCTCCATGCTCAAATCTGTATGAAGTTTTGGTTCTGTGTAGTGGCACTGCCATTTTTATTTAAGTTGTAACTTTAAAAATATATATATTTCTTTATGCATACAAGAATTGGGATGTGTGTGTGTATGTGTGGAGGGGGTGGTGGTGGTGGTGGTGAGAGGATTCCCCAGACAGAGTGGAGAGCAGAACAGGCAGACTGACGGAGATGCACTGCTGAGGGGAGCAGCGGATGAGATAGGAGAGGTCTCTGTCATGTGGGTCAACTCCCTGGCCAGAGACCTAACTCATGTGTTAGTGGCTTGCGATAGCTTCATAGTGCTTACTTCATCCCTTGTACCATCAGGGAAGCCCTCAAATTGTAACTTTCGTGAATATGAAGATATAATTTGTTTTTGTCTATGTCTGATTCATGAATACTCATTTGTTGATTATTTGGGAAAAATGGAAATGTTTGATGGGTTTTAAAGTTGAGCTCAATCTTTAACTGGCTTCTTTGGCTCATGTTTATTCTGTACAAATATGTCTTGGTTCTTAGATAACTTCTCCCCTGTTTCTCTCCTGTTATGTAGGTACATGTGGATGATTCGAGATCTTTGGGGAAGTGTTGGGCTCTACTTGCCATGTCAATGCACATGTACTGTGTGAACAGGTCTCTCCTGATTTGGCTAACACTCAGTAGCCCTCCTGGCCATAGCACTCCCTGAGCTTTTGCCATGATTTCTCTTCTGCCGGGCTGGGTGGTTTGCTTCACAGCCTTCCCTACAGGGCTTCTTCTCACTTCTACAGTAATAAAGTGGGTGCACCCACTCTCCAACACTCCCTGGGACGTCTAGGTCTCATAACATCCTAAATCAGTGGCCCTCCAGCCTTTTGTTCTCAGAAGTCCAATATACTTTTTTTTTTAAAGATTTATTTATTTATTCATACAGATCTGGGGTACAGGCCAGAGATGCAGAGGGTGAGAGGATTCACCAGAGACAGAGTGGGGAGCAGAACAGGCAGATCAACAAAGTATACTGCTGAGGGGAGCAGCAGGCGGGTCAGGAGAGGTCTGCCACACCATGTGGTCACCTCCCGGGCAGGCGGGGATCGAACTCATGCGGAAGTGGCTTAATCTTCTTAGTGCAGTGCTTTAACCCTCTGCGCCACCAGGGAGGGCCCAAGACACTTTTAAAAATTATTGACCCCTCCAAAGAGCTTTACTTTTCAGAGTTTTCCTTTGTGTGCATTATAGCTGTTCGTCAATGATTATTATAAATATAGTGAGAAATACAAAGTAGAGACTTTAAAGATGCTTATTAATTTATTTAATAATGAAAAATAAACCCATTATAGACATTAAACACAGATTTTCATTGAAAACTACTGTTTCCTAAAACAAAAGTTAGTGAGAAAATGAAATAAAAAATTTCAATGTATGGAATACTGACAAACCAAAGAGAGAAAAAGCTACATTACTATGATCTTGATGTTAGCACTTAAATTCATAGTAAACTATTTTAAAGTATTCAGAAATTTCTGTTATAAGAAAAAAATCTATACAAATGAAAATTTTGAATTATCTTTAAAAGGCAAACACCAAAGACATGATGAGTGTTTACTTTTATTCTCATATTTAGATACTGTCTTTTTACAGTCAAACCTACAGACAAATGCTTTAGAAGACTTGGTCTTTGTGTTTCAGAAAGGTTCTTCTCTCTGCTGCCCCACAAACACTGTTCTGAAACTTGTATTCAGTTTTGCTTTTCTTCTGCTAAAAAAAGTATTATTGCATCTGCTTATATTCCTAAAAATGTCTTTCAGCTCTACAGAAATCTATGTGTGTATACATACATACACACATACATATATCATATATATGTACTCACTATTTTGGATTTACTTTTTCACTTAATATTACATTGCAAAGATTCATTTAGATTGTTGTGTCTTAGCTTTTTATTGCCGTGTAATAAATTACCTCCAAATTTGGTAGCCTAAAACAGTACATATTCATTATCTCATTTTTCAAGTGGGTCAGGAATCAGGGTACTAGTTAGCTAGGTCTACTTCAGAGTTTCTCAGGAAGCTACAATTAAGGTATTGCTTGGGGCTGCAGTCATCCCAAGGGTCATCTGGGGCAGATCTACTTCCATGCTCGCCAGGTGTTTGTTGCCAGAAATAAGCTTTCCATGGGCTATTGGACTGAAGGCCTGATTCCTTACTGACTGTTGGCCAGAGGTTGTCCATCTTCCTTGAAAGTGACCAGTACATCTAGCATGTGAGAAGAGACAGAAAGAATACTAGCAAGACAAAAGCCATAGTCTGTTATAACCAAATTATGGAAGTGATATCTTAGTCACTGACTATATTCTCTTCATCAGAAAAAGTCACTGTGTCTAGCCAGCATTCAAGGGGAGAGAATTACATAAGGCTGGGATACCATGAAGTAGGTGAGGGACATGGGAAGCCATGTCAGAACCTGCTTACCACATGGTGTAGCATAGTAATTTTTTCATTTTCACTTCTATATACTTTTTTTTTTGGTGGATATACTGTAGTTTATGCTCTCATTCATGGGCATTGGTTCTCCCTTACCCAAAGGATTTTTGCTGTTATGAGCAGTGATGCTACAATCTGTTTTTGCACATACGAGGGAAATGTGCTGCTCTTATCTAAATAATTTTGTTGGTGGATAGTGTATGTTAGTGCTGGTACATGACAAGGCAGGGATCCCTAAGCCTCTCCCCTTTGCCAGGAGTTCTGAGATGGAACTGTATAAATCAGGAAATTCTAAGTGCCTCACTTTCTATTGTGCAGTGGCTGGTGGTCCAGGGGGCCCTTACTCCTTAGAGACTCCTGTAACCAAGTTCATTGATCTATCAGGAACTGAGCTTGACAAGCTGGTCATTGAAGGAAATGACAGCCTCAGCTCTGAAAGTAGAGGAGTGGGTGTCACTGTTAAAATTGCAGGACACAACCTGGCTCTCAGCGTAGCCCAAGAAGTCCTTGAGAGGGCTCTGTGACACCTACTTTACCACTTTTTGATGTCATTGAAATTGGAAACTTTCTCCAGGCAGCAGGTCAGATCTACAACTGACATGTTGGAAGTGGGAACACAGAAGAACATGCCACTAAGCTTTCCGTCCAGCTCAAGGATGACTGTGCCACAGCCTTGGTGGTGCTAGTAGAAGTGGGGATGATATTCTGGGCTGCCCCTTAGCTTTTGCACCACAGCTTCCCAGAGAGTCCATCCATGTTCTTCTGGGTGGCAGCTATGGCATGGGCCCTGGTCACAAGTCCCTCCACGATGCCAAAGTTGTCACAACGTATTCAGCACCAACTCCACAACGTATACAGCACCAACATCACCCCATTTGTTCTTGGTGAGAGCTTTGCTCCTGGAAGATGGACACGGTCTTTCCCTTGATGGCAAGCATCCCATCTCTGCCTTTACCATGCCATACTGGATCTTGTAGACCATGTATTTGAGGTCAATAAAGGGATCAATGATGGCAACAATATCCTTACCAGATTTAAAGGCAGCCCTGATAACCAGGCATCTAGTCCCACAAAATCTGTTCTCTCTGACCTTCATCATGGTGTCTGAGAGAGCCATGCTGGTGCTGCACAAAAAGAGGTGGCTATCTATAAAATTGAGAGGAGCAGAGAGCCATTATTTTCACCTTGATATTCTGCCATAGTGAAGACTTCCTTAATTAATTGCACTTAGAATTAATCTTGTCCCATTTAAACTGCTTTAGTACTAAATCTCATCACCTTTTACTGTACTTATTTTTTACATATCATTATTTTCCCTTTTGAAACAGTAAGTTATCGAGGACAGGTAATAAATTTGATTCTCTGTAATTTATATAGTACTAACAAAGCACTTAGTGTATTAGTAAGCTTTCAGTAAGAATTAGTGAGTGAATGAATTTACTAAAATGCCAGTTCCTAGTTTTTAAGGTGTTAGTCTGATTGCAATGATCTAACTGTATTTCTCACTTCTCCCCAAAATGACTCTTGCTTAGGCAGGTGAGTATCTTTAGCATTTTCTTTCAATGTTTTCCTTTGGATTTAGCCTTCATGGATCTCCTCCTTTGTCCCTATTGACTTTACAGTTTGTATCACAATTCAGCATTTTAATATATATTCAGACAGCATATTGACTTATAATAGTGCACAATAAACTTTACTCATTAAGTGGATATAATATTTTATAATGATTTTCAGGTAGGTGTTTTTTAGCCTATTAATATTTTCAGTTGACCAAGTAAATCAATAAGTACTGGTTTGTTTTGAGTAGATGTCTATATTTTTTTGTCTCAGGTAATTTTTTGGACTTAATGGAGTCAGAAGGACCCCCAGACTTAGAGAGTTCAGAACAAACAGTGTTTTTACCACAAGAGGAAGTAGAAGTTAATGAAGAAAATGAAGGTGACAAAGAATCAGAGGACACGGGCACAGTCAATCCTCTCTTACAGCCTGCTCTCACAGGGGATGTAGAAGGTCTGCAGAAGATTTTGGATGACCCTGAGAACCCTCATCATGAACATGCCATGCAGTTACTTTTGGAAGAAGACATCGTTGGGAGAAATTTGTTGTATGCAGCTTGCATGGCTGGACAAAGTGATGTGATTAGAGCTTTGGCAAAATATGGTGTGAATCTGAATGAAAAAACTGCCAGAGGTATTTTGTCTTTTTTCTCTTATCAGTATTACTGTCGAAAGATACTGTGTACTGTTTTTACAGGTAGATAAATTTGTTATGCCTACTTAGATTGCGTATATTAATTATGCACACACATGTGTGTAAACATATGTGTATATGCATGTTGATATAGAGTGGTATAGTGATTAAGCACATAGACCTCACTACTTATTAGCTATGTGATGGCAAGGTACTTAATAACTTGTGTCTCTTTTCTTTTTTAAAGATTTATGTACTTGTGCATACAGAACTGGGGTACAGGCCAGAGGCTCGGGGCGGCGAGAGGTTTCACCAGAGACAGAGTGGAAAGCAGAACAGGCAGATCGACAAAGTACACTGCTGCGGGGAGCAGTGGGCCATTCAGGAGAGGTCTGCCACGCCATGTGGTCACCGCCGGAGCAGGTGGAAATCTAACTCATGCAGAAGCGGCTTTAGCTTCTTAGTGCTGTGCTTTAACCCACTGCGCCACCAGGGAGGGCCATTTGTGCCTCTTTTTTTTTTTTTTTTTTTTTTTTTTTAAGATTTATTTACTTGTGCATACAGAACTGGGGTACAGGCCAGAGGCTCAGGGGCGGTGAGAGGCTTCACCAGAGACAGAGCGGGGAGCAGAACAGGCAGATCGACGAAGTTCACTGCTGAGGGGAGCAGCAGCGGGCGGGTCAGGAGAGGTCTGCCACGCCATGCGGTCACCTCCGGGGCAGGCAGGAATCGAACTCATGCGGAAGTGGCTTTAGATTCTCAGTGCTGTGCTTTAACCTGCTGCGCCACCAGGGAGGGCCCTGTGCCTCTTTTTTTAATCTGCAAAATGGATATAGCATATTTTCATTATAGTGTATTATGAGGGTTAATAAGATAAATATAGATATGGCATATAAATATCATAGTACATGACACAAAGTAAATTGACAAACAGTAAATTCTCAGTAATTTTTTTCCTTTGAAGATTTATTGGGTTTTGTAATCTTTATTTAATTAGCTCTTTTACTCTAGTCACTTGTTTTCCAGATCACAAAATATAATACAAGTTCACTGTAGAATATAAAACAATGATTTCCAGCAAATAGTTAATGTACATTTTCTATACACTCATGTGGAAAATTTAAAAATGTCGTCACATGTTAGCTCGTAAAGGAAATCTCAGCAGATATCAAAGATTCTGCAGTCTTGGATCTTTACAATAAAATTAGAAAATAGTAACAAAAAGATGAATGAAAATCTCTAATAATTTTGGAAACAAAAACATACTTTAAGCTTTTCTGCCTACTTATGACTATGAATGGGCCTCTATTTTTTCTTTCTCCTTTTCCTAATAAACTTGTTGTTCTAAATGTAAAAAAACAAACAAAGAAAAAAACCCCATACTTTAAATCATCTTCTGGTCACAGAAAATATGTAGAAATTATGGAATTTTTAAATGGTAACAGGATCACTATATATCACCATCTGTGGAATACACATAAAACTTTAATGCATTTTTTTAGAATAAAAGAAACCTTGAAAATTAGTAAGTAAAGCATTTAGAAGAATAACTGAATAATCCAAAGAAAATAGAAGAAATAATAGTAGAGTAAAATAATGACACAGAAAATAAAGAAATACTGGCAAGGATCAATCAAAATCTGACTCAATGAAAAAGTTGGCAAAATCTTTCATAATATTGGGAATATTTGATAATTTTTGCTATTTGATTAATAAGAAAGAACAAAATAATATATGTGCATTTTTAAATGTAGCATTCACACAGGAAAATCATATTTAAAAACTCACTAGTGGGCCCTTCCTGGTGGTGCAATGGGTTTGGACGCAGCACTGCAGCCACTTCAGTGCAAGTTTGATTCCCAGTCCTGGAGGTAACCCACATGGTGTGGCAGACCTCTCCTGACCCACCTGCTGCTCCCCTCAGCAGTGTACTTCACTGATCCACCTGTTCTGCTTCCCACTCTGTCTCTGGGGAATTCTCGCTCACTGCTCTTGCACCTCTGGCCTGTATCGCAGTTCTGTATTCTTATAGACAAATAGAAGAGAATTATTGTAGTAGGCGAGGCACCATAAAATTTCTTGAAATATAAGAATATAGTCACTAAAGGAAAAGATAGATAATGTTATATGTAGAATTTAAAAGTTATACACAAGAAATCCTGTACAGGAAGATAGTAAAAGATAAAGCAGACTGCTTGACAAAGGATATAGCTCCATAAAGACATCTTACTAGTCAAAGAGAAGAATTTTAACCCAAGTAGGAAAAAAGGAAAAACTTCAGATCAAGTCATTCTTGGAAGAGAAGCTCTCATGGTCACTAAATATATGAAAATAGTCTCTATTTCATTATTAAAATGTAAATTTAAACAATGACCTATGAGAATTTAAATATCGGGCAGCATTAAAGAAATGGGAAACGGGAACTCTTTCCTGGAGGAAGTATAAATGATCCAACTACTCTGAAGAATATTCATATAAAGTGGCATATTGTCATACCCCATTATTCCAATTTCATATCTAGATAAATGTCTTTGAAAAATTCTAACACATATTCAAAAGGAGACTTGTACAAGAATAATTATTGCAATATTGATTGTAATTGTGAAGAATTTTAAATGATTCAAATCAGTATGGTAATGGATAAATGCACTATCATATATACAGTGGTTTACTACTCAACAAGTAATGAACTAGCATTTTGGGTATTAAACTGATAACACTTGAAATGATGACATTGAGGCAAAGGTTACAAAGGGATTCTATAATGACTGGTTAGTAGCTTGGATTTTCAGATCTTGTGTTCAAATAGCACTGACTTTTGAGCTTGGTTTCAAATCCTAGCTTTGCCACTAACTTGGCATTATGATTTAGGCAAATTATATAATCTTTCTATACACACTGACAAAACTTGGATTAATAATAATGTATAAAAACCATACTATGTTAAAGAAAAGGAGAGTCCTAAATTAATATATGTCAGTATGCTTCCCGTACTATTCACGGGAGGTGCTGTTTTGTTTAGTTGACATGAGTGTTACCATTTTTTTGTTTGGTGCTTTCCAACATATACAGCTAGGTAAACAGGCATTCAGAATTTGATGATGTACTCTAAGGTAATCAATTTACTTACTCTGATTTTGTGCTTACTATGAAATCTTGTCATTTAGCAGAGGAGATTCCTGAGCAGAGTTGAAATTACAGTCTAGTTTCTTCTTGCTGTTCATACTAAAATGCCAACACACAAGGACCAATTGAGATAACTGTAAAACTATAAGGAGCCAAGACTACTTGACTTGAGATATTAAATTCCAAGCCTATCTACACAGCAAAAACATTAAAATCAGGAGATTCACTATCAGAAAAACATGCTCCAGGTTAAAAAAAAAATGAATGTGTGATTCTATAACCATTTGTTGACATGTTGATATCAAAAGGTCATAATATTTAGACATGAGATTAAGGGTATGACTTTAAGGATACCCCTTTAATCAAACTAGAAAGCTTAAGGCTGTTACCCTTAAGCCATCTCAGAAAAGTGGAGAAGGGAATATGTTTGAAGAATTTGTTAACCTGGCTTCTGTCTAATGGGGTGAATCAAATCTCTGTTATGTCTACTGAAGTCTACAAAGTTCTTGAGAGTTTTATAATAGCAAAAATATACTGTCTTGCACAGATGGAAACAGAAGAAAGGCTATTGGATCCCCACATTTTGTCAGGAAGCAGGCTTACTTATTCACTGTTCAGTTGTAAACTCATGCTGTCTTACATGGAAAAGGAAAGATGATTCAGCAAACTGAGACCCCACAGAGTGAAGCCAAGAGCTCAGAGGGCAAGAGCTGAAAACCAAGGAGAATTATTAGGGTTTTGAAATGTAATGGAGTTTACCTGGCTTGACTTCAGAATTGCTTTGCATTGGTGACTGTTTTACTTTCCATTTTCCCCCTGTTTGAACCAGAGTCCTTATTCCTGTTATCCTACTCTTGTTCCAGTATTGTATGTTGGGAATAGATAATTTCTTTATTTTCACATATCTTCAGGTGGAAAAGGTTGTGCCCCATTATATTTAATAGATTAATTATATTTAATAGATTATAGCCAGAGCCTCATCCACAGGTGATTTAGATGATGAAATTTGAACCTTTGAGCTGATGACATTTAGATTAGATTTTGAATTGATATGTAACAAGATGAGATTTTTGGATGGATGAATTTGGGAGGGATTTGAATCTTTGAGTACCTGCAGCTGACAAGAGTAGCAAAATAACTCCCCCTTACATATCCAGGCTTTAATCTCTGGACCCTATGAATATGTTACTTTACATGGAAGAGGTAATTAAGATGACATACTCTGCATGTTCACATATGGAGGTGTAAAGTTGTACTTCTAAAATGACAGTTACATAAGTCAGTAGCAAATCCATAAAACTAAAAAAATTCTACACTTTAAAATACAGATTAGCTCAGATTATGCAGGCAGTGCCAGTCTAATGACAACTCTTAAAAACAAAGAACTTTCTCTAGTTGTGGTTAGAAAAAATTTGGCAAAAGAAATCAGAGAGGTTGAAGCATGAGAAAAATTGTGTCATAGCTGGCTTGAAGATGGAGGAGACAAGTTGATCAGGAATGCAGGCAATCTTAAAGAGCTGAACGAGGCTCTTGCAGCCAGCAAGGACTAGAGACCTCAGTCCTACAATCTCAAGGAACTGAATCTCACTGCCAGCCTGAGAGGGCCTAGAAGCAAATATTTCCTCCTAGAATCTCCAGAGGAGAGCCCAGCCTTTGAGTTTAGTTTTCTGAAACTTTCAGCCAAGGCCCAGCTGAACCACTGTATTTGTACTTCTGACCTATGGAACTGTGAGATTAGACATGGGTATTGCTTTTAGCAGCTTCATGTGTGGTAATTTGTTTTGGCAGCAAAAACAAAAACAAAAAAATCACAAGCTACTCCCCCAAACAAAAACACAACAAAATAATAATATCAACTATATCTGATGCTGTTTCCCACCTAAACTTGCTTATAAGGAAAGAAATGAATCAAGCTAGTATTCTGGGTACTGTACGTGATGAATGGCATTCCATGAAGATTATTATTTTTTAAATATATTTTTTATATCATTCTTCATTTTTGTACAATGTATGCTTTTTTGTCAGTTGTAACCCCATAGAATTCCTACCACCGATTCACCCATGTGCCATAGCCATAGTCCAATGTGCTCTTCCCACCCCGTTTTGATCCTTTTCCCCCCACCCAAAGAATGGTTTGTAGTTGTTTGTTGATATTATATTGTACTTTATTACAGTTATTTTTTTCCCCTTTGATCCTGTACACTCCTACTGTGAGTGGAGCTATATGGTATTTTCCTTTCTAGCTTATTTCACTAGGTATGATCCCTTCCAGCTCCATCCGTGTTGCTGCAAATGGGATATATTTATCTTTTTAGATTGCTGAGTAATATTCCATCGGTATATATACCATATCTTCTTGATCCAGTCATCTATTTTGGGGCATTTGGGTTGATTCCACATCTCCATGAAGATTATTTTATAGTGGCAACTGCATGAGTCAGCCAGCCTATTTATTTACTGACTGACAGTTTTGCTTTTATTGCACTGGGTGCAGAAGAAATACACTGCCCTCTATTGGCCTATAGAGAGGAGCAGGCAGCAGAGATGGCTCCAGGGAGATTGATACTTTGGGCCTCAGGGTTTCTGAAGTCATGAGCACAGTAGGAGCCACCTTCCAACATGAAGTGCAATCAGTTCACAGACAGACTTCACCAGAAGGAAGATGGCAGTAGCTGAAGGTACTTTAATGGAGGTGCACACTGAATACCAGAGTTCCTTCTGGTTGTTCTGATAAATCTAGGTGTCAGTTGGGGAACCATCACTGTGGTTAATGTGTAGGTAGTGGGCCATGCAGGCCTGCTCACTGGTAAAATTTGTTAAGGCTTTAGCTGGGTATATTAGCACCTGGCAAGGGTTGAACAGTTTTCCATAAGCAACCTCATATTTCTGCTGGTATTCTGATAGTATTGGTTCCCACCACTCCTCCAGACGTGTTCTTGGGCTGGAAACTTGTCTCTGAGTCCACAGGCCGTGCAATCAATGTGGGTGTACAGATTTCTTACCTTACCATGAATAACGACTTCCTCGATCCTTCCCTCCCTCTCAGCCCTATCAGAACCAGTGTGTCCTCAGAAGTTTTGTCAGTTTGGTAATCTCCAGCTGCTGTATTTTATCCACAGGCGAGTAGTAGTATATGCCAGTCACCTTCTCAGGTTTTCTGCTGACAGAAGCAGTCACATTGATTAGGAGATGTGTTATTGGCAAAGACATAATGATCTGGAATCATTAAGCAATTTGTGCTTAAGCAATTTGTGCTTAAGATGTAGGTCCTCAAAAAAGAGCTTTAGTCACCTTGTCGGCATCTTCAAACTCCTGGTTATAAAGCTGCTCAGTCATTTTGCTGAAAGTGCAGATCCTTTCAAATGATGTCAGTGTTTTCTCCTTCATTTCACCATCCCATCTTTGGGCACTTGTTACTGCCCAGTTGGGGTAGGGTAGCATCATTAAATATAATCTTTAGACCACCATCTATGGAGACTTGGGCAATGCTCAAGGTACAGGATGAAGACTTTTGGTCTGTTTTTGCACTATTTTTTCCCACCTTTTTGCAAGTTTGTTGCCAAGTGAAATACTCATGATGCATAATGTCAATTTTTCTACCAACCTCTCTTATCAGCTAATTTTTCAGTAAAAGTAATTGCAACTTTTTGTAGGTACCCAATGGTTCATTTATCTGTAGGTGTAGAGGTATCACTGGTTTCCCACAGGTAAACATTTGGGTTCCATTTCCTGCTTCTTATAAACCCTTTATGCGGCACCAGACTTGAGCTCGAGCCTTGCTTTGGCTGCTGGCTGCCATTGTGGCCTTAGACAGGGTATAGTTTCTGAATTTAACTATCCTGTGTATCCTTTAACTGGCTAATAATATGTATTTCATATGGTTATTGGAAGGAGTAAATGAAGCACATTAAGTGCCTGTTACTTAGAGATTTAATACTTGTTAGTTCATTCTCTTGCTCAGTTGTTATAGGAGACCTGCATGCCTCTGGCTGGTTAAGTGGGCCATAAAGGATATCCTTGTGGGTAAATTAAAATAGTCAAATTTTTCTTGATTTTTAAAAAAAGTCTAAAAAGTATTTTTAAAGATGCCACTCATGTTTCTCACCTTTACAATTACACCTTATGCAAATACTCTCAGTAAGTCTAAGAAATAGCTTTCTAATTTGATAGGTCATAATTTTAATTTAATTTAAATGATGAATTTTCAGATGAGATTTATATGCAATTTTAGGAAGTGCATATTGTGTTAACCATAATGCTAAAGTAATTTGTTTGATGAAAATTGCTTAAAAGTTATGGTTCTGGTTGTATTCCACAATAGATGACTGTCAGTAAGAAAGGTCTCTTTCTAGGATGAAGAGAGTTCAGCACTGCCTCTGCCATTTGCTGGTTCCATTATTGGATATGTTTTACGCAAGTTTCTTAACCTTTCTGAATCTCAGTTTTCTTGTCTGTAAAATCAGAATTACAGTTCTGATTCATAGGGTTGTTTTTTTTTTTTTTTTTAAAGATTTATTTATTTATTCATATAGAGCTGGGGGGGTACAGGCCAGAGATGCGGAGGGTGAGAGGATTCACCAGAGACAGAACTGGGAGCAGAGCAGGCAGATCAACCAAGCGCACTGCTGAGGGGAGCAGCGGGCGGGTCAGGAGAGGTCTGCAGCGCCATGTGGATCACCTCTGGGGCAAGCGGGAATCGAACTTATGCGGAAGTGGCTTTAGCTTCTCAGTGCTGTGCTTTAACCCGCTGCGCCACCATGGAGGGCCCGATTCATAGGGTTTTTATGAACTAAATGAGGTCACTATATGTGAAGCACTTAGAACAATGTGTGGCCCATTTAACTGTTTTTAATACTTGATTGACATTATGATATACTTCCTAAAATAGCCTAAAACAATGTAGTTCTGTAGTCCTCGTTACCTGACAATTTCATTCTCCTTGTTAGGTTACACACTCTTACACTGTGCAGCAGCTTGGGGTCGCTTGGAAACTTTGAAAGCACTAGTGGAACTGGATGTTGATATAGAAGCTTTAAATTTCCGACAAGAAAGAGCTCGAGATGTTGCTGCTCGGTATTCTCAGACTGGATGTGTTGAATTCCTGGATTGGGCAGGTAAGGAAGCCCACAGGATTTTAGCAAACTGATTGATGTATTGGGCTTTCAGGAGTTTTAGGCTATATCTTTAGAACCACTGCTGTATTGCTGTTGAAACTGTGTGAAATCTGCCATTTTATTTTCTTGTGATTTTGTTACTGGCATAAGACATTGTACTTAGTAGAAAGTGAATATATCAGAAACTGGTTTACCAACAATTGCACCAATAATTTTTATAAGAATATATGTATATGTTCAAGCCATCTCCTGAGACCTAGGCAGATGGACCATTCCCTTCAGTATTAAAAAAAAGTAGTATATTTGAGTAATCTGTTCAAAACAGTTGTAATAATTCATCTTTGCCTGAAAAATCATTTTTATCTATGGTTTTAGAATAGTAATTACTTTATACCATGAGGGGAACTACTGGTGCATGGTGTTCTTTCTCTCAATCTGGTTACCTTGTGTGCTCATTTGTGAAAATTCATTGAGCTGAACATGTATAATTTTTGCACTTTTCTGTATATGTGTTATGCTTCAGAGGGCAAATAACTTGATGCAACTGTTGATTTTTACTGATATTTTACTTACATCAACTCCATAGCCCTGTAGAATATAGCTTAAAGAGATTCCAGGAAGATATACTTATAGCTATACATCTATATTAAATAATATATTGTTTAAAAACTAGTATTTCTAAATTCACAACATCAATTTTGCAAGATTATCTACATTTGTTTTTATCAAGCATTTATGGATTGTCCACTATGAGTATAGCTGTGTTGTAAGGACTTTGGTTATTCCTACCACCTGGGCCTTGGTTAGGTAGGGGGTGATAAGCTATACACACATGCAGTGCTTTAATTATTATATCAGAATATACATGATTAAGGGTTAATGTGGTAGAGCAGGTGATCAGAGAACATGATGTCAGAGAAGCTGCAATTAGGCTGGATCTTGAAGAATGAGTGGGATTTGAAAACACAATAGAAGGAGGAAGGGTGTAGGCAATATCCTGGAGCTGGGAGTGAAAGTGGCATGTTGGAGGGGAGGGATGAGAATGTCTGACTGGAACAGTGAGTCAGTTTGCACAAATAGGCAAAGAAGAAGGGGAATAATGAGAGGGTAAGTACACAGTTTCTTTCATCAGATTGCTTGAGTTTAAATACTGGTATTTCCACTTGAAACCCATGTGACCTTGGATATAATACTTTAAATAAAGTTACACTGATTTATAAAATATTATAAATTTATAAATATTTATAATATATATATATATACATATATATGAAACATCATTTTCATATATATATCTATATATATGTTCTACATTAGGAACTTAAAAAGGTTTTTTGCTTAAAATTTTTTATATTTAAGTTTCATTTTCTAGAAAAGTTCCCACAAAGTGGGTGGGGTAGGGCTGTGAGACTTGAATCAGATAATGTAAAGCACTTAACTCCTACCTGGCTTGTGGTCAGCATGACAGAACCATGCTGCAACTGCCATTACAGTCAAAGTGACTTCAAATGCCAGGCTAAAGTTTTTCATTTCAATTCTGTAGCCACTGAAAGGTTTTATGTAGGAGAAGAAGAGTAAAGCAATGTTTAAGATTTGTGTAGTAGCAATAAGGAGCTTGCTTATCAGTCAAATGAGAAGGGGACTAGAAGAATTAACAGAAATAAGGAAATTGAAAGAAGGTAGCACATTTGGCAAGAAAAAGAAAGAAATCTATGCTTTGTAGATTACAGGTAATTGTCCATTGTACTATATGTTTTCTGGAGGGAATGTTTCTTCTACTACCTTCAATTTTCTGACAAATCCTGTAGAAGGACAACAGCAAAGAATTAAACTAAAAGGCATGAAATTAAAATCTACTTGTAAAGAGAGACCCCTAGTTCCTTAAAACCACAACCAAGGACAAATTTTGCTGTCATTTTTCTGAAAAGAAACAGTTTAGGCATTGTGGTGGTGGTGGTGGACGAGTTTCATAGGTTTCTTTTTCTCTAAAACTCATCTGTTTAGGTCCTTACATTCCTGGAGGAATTATGCCCAACATTTTCCAGTGAAGATGAGACGATAAAATATAGACTAGCATTTTGTTTCCAGATTGGTCATGTAATAATAAGGATTGGAGCTTCTTGATGTAGTGTGGAATAACAGCAAAACAAACTACTCAACATTAAATGTGACATTAGTTTAATTTAAACTTACTAAGACTATGCATCACATTTTTCATAGTGATTGAGTCACTTGGAGAGATTTCTTTTTTTTTTATTTTTACATCATTTTGTACATTTTTTTTCAGTTGTAATCCCCATGGGTTTCCCATAACCAAGTCACCTGTGTGCCATCACCATAGTCCCATGCACTTCCCTCCTCTCACCCCCATTTTTGATCCCATTCCCCACTCCACCCCCACCCAGTGTCTCTGGCATATGGCTGTTCATTATTATTTTTTTGTCTGGTCCATTATATTACTGCTATGAGCGAAACCATCCCACTTGGAGAGATTTATAGATGGAAAGCTCCCTACCCAAAGACATGCTTGCATACTGCTTAAAATTGCACGATTAGGGATGTAATTTTTGGGGGGGGTCACAGAAGTTCAGAGACTTTTAAAAAAGTTTTCAAGAGCCCTCAGTTAAAAGAAGTTTGTGTGCCTGTGTGTGACTGACAGTTTAGAATTGTAAGGACTAGAATGGACATTCATGCAGTATGGGAGTAGCGCTGTGCTCATGTGTGAAGAAAGGAGCCTCTGGGACATGGACTCATAGATTTTAATAATCTACAGTAACCTAAGGTAGGCATACTTTTTTCCTAGTATTGGTAATGGTAGAGTTGCCTTTGCTGTTTTAAGGACTGCTTTTTAAATGTTTTTTTCCTCTTTTATACTGATGGGAGGTTTTATTATAAATCTGGCATATTTTTCAACTTATGTTCAATAAATTTATAACTAGCCTCCAGTCTTTGTTAGGAAAATATAGTAACCATACTTTAAAAAATGGAAATGGGGCCCTGCCTGGTGGCGCAGCGGGTTAAAGCACAGCATCGAGAATCTAGAGCCACTTCCCCATGAGTTCGATTCCTGCCTGCCCCGGAGGTGACCACATGGCGTGGCAGACCTCTCCTGGCCCGCCCGCTGCTCCCCTCAGCGGTGTGCTTCGTCGATCTGCCTGCTCTGCTCCCCACTCTGTCTCTGGTGAATCCTATCACCCTCCACATCTCTGGCCTGTACCCTAATTCTGTATGAATAAAAAAATAAATCTTTAAAAAAAAAACGGAAATGGTTGATAAATAAAATTTGAATCATTAAAAAAATTGAATTCTTAACAAAAGTCTGAAATTTAAAAAATGATGATGCTTTATGATACTAAAATGGAAAATTCATAGTTAAAAAATTAATCTAACTGCTCAGCAACAAAGGAATGGATTCAGATATAGTACATATACTATATGTGAGCTATGTTTACATATACTATAGTATATGTACTATAGTGTATATACATGATGGAATACTATTCAGGTATAAAAGAGATGAACTCCTGAAATTTGGGACAACATAGATGAAACTGAAGGGGATTATGCTAAGTGAAATAAGTCAGGAGAAAGACAAATATGGATGGTTTCATTCACACGTGGAATATAGAAAACAAAACAAAGGAATTGACAAAAATCAAACCAAATCAAACTCTAGAAATATGGCTGCAGTCTACTGGAGGGTGGAGAGAAGATGAGGGGGGTACAAAATGGGAGGGGCCTAGTGATATAGGGTCACTATGGGTGCTTTGGTAGCTGAGGGGGTATGAACTACTCCCCTGAATCATATACCAAATTGTAAAACAATGTTGCCTCAATAAAAATAGAAAAAAGTGAGAGTAAATAATTTATATCTTAATGTTTCCAAATTACTTTAGCAATCTGAGATGGGACACTACTAACGGTGTCCTTATAGCTACAGAATTTGCCTTGGAAGATAACAAAAAGTGAAAAATAATATTTAAATCCCAGGGTCACTGAAACACTAAGATTCTGTTCTACAAATTGGTTAATGATCAGTAATCTAACACTTTAAAAATATGTAAACATAAAGCAGTGATTGTGTTTAACCTTTCCCCAGTATTTAGTAAGCATGGATGCATTTCTAGCTGAATGGAAATAACGTTTCAACCCAAAATTCCTTGGGAAGTTTCAGTAAAGATTGTGGCAAAAAATTACAAAGGCCCCCAACAAACCATTTTTATCCTTACTTCAGTCCCCTCAATAGATTTCTTTTGTCCAATAGATTTCTCAGTCCATGATGGACTGAGCTATGTTTACATATGATGTGTGTTCCTATGCCTCCTTCTCCTCCTTCACTTTTCTTCCTCTTAATTTGCGATGCTTGGCTTTCTTAGCTGGAGGATGCTGGGATACCTGGTTTAGGTACTTGGTCATCATTGATGTTGTGGCCACCAGTCTGCAGAGTATTTGGTCAATATCATAAATAGACTGGCTTTCGAGATCATTACCAGGTATCTCTACAGAGGCTTGTTTTTTAAGCTAAAAGGAGAAAAACATAGGGTTACAGATTTTTTTCTTGCCATAGTTCAAATTAAATTTGGTTCCTGGATATCTATCTATATCTATATCTATATCTATATCTATATCTAGATCTAGATCTAGATCTAGATCTAGATCTAGATCTATCTGTCTATATATCATGTGCCACATAGTGGTACTTAGGTCAGTGATGGAGCATGGTTCCTGATTTTAGTCTAGGTTTGTATTAGCTGTTCATGCAACTACTAAGTCATCTACAAAAATATTTCTTAAAACATACACCTGTCATTAAATAACACATGACCTTATACTCAAATGCCAAACACTACACATTACTTACTCTACAAAAGTTTACCAAAAAAGAAAGATAATAGTCTAGAAGCAATGCCTTTTTGAACCATACTGGTGGCCTAGGGCTTAAGTTTCAGAGCTATCACTGCTATGGCCTGAGTTTGATCCCTGGCCAGGGAGCTAACCCACATGGTGCAGCAGACCTCGCCTATGTCTCCCAAAACTCCCCTCAGCAGTGTACTTAAGTAGATCTGCCTATTCTGCTCCCCACTCCATCTCTGGTGAATCTTGTTACCCCCTCTAGCCTATATCTCTGTTCTTCTATCAAAGGAAAAAAATTTTTTTGTATATGTTCCCATATAAGATCTTAGTAATCATTATTATCAACAAATATTTAGGTAATTTTATAGTCAGCACATTATGCTAGGAGAAATTATTTGAAAATTAGCAAAACATTTCCTTTATGTATAATGTTCTTCAGTGTATAATGCAATAAAATCACAGTCCTTTTATAAATATCCAGTTGTTGTGAAGGTCAATGAGATTGTTCTTGTTAATGACATTTTAAGATTGCCTCTAAAATATGGTGTTACTTATTGGCAAGATGGGAAATCAGTTCAATACTGTTATTTTCTAGAAAGTTATCCTAGGAAATTAAAGTCCATTAAAAAAATACACGTCAAATACTATATACTTAACTTTCCTAGATAGAGCTGAAAGGGATCTAAGAGATCTCTTGTTCCATATCCTTCATTTTATGAAGTAGCTGAGAAAGATCAAGCGGCTTATCTAATAGCCCAGTCAACTTCATTTCCTGTGTGTTCTACTCATATCTTAGTACTTTTTCAGTGTGTTCTGTGAGCTGACATAGAGGGATTGGATTGTATTATTTTAAGGACCTTTTACTTCAACACATATTTGTTGAACATCTCCTATGTATAAGACATCATGCTAGGTGTGGGGGATGGTGGAGGTGAGTGGTGAGGGTAAGGAGAAAAGTTTACAACATAGTACTTTCCCTCAAAGCAACTGATAATAATTGTGTTTAAAACACTTTTGCAATTACTATTTGTATCACGAATTCACCTTTTTTTGGTGTTTCTTCCATTTCATCCACAGGTAATGTGCAGATAAAATAGACAGGATTAAAATGAGAGCTTGTATTGAAATATAAATGAGATTTAAGCAACCATGAAATATATCCATATTAGCAAAATTGCAGCATAGTTTATCCAGAGGGTAAGGTAGACAGTGAGATGGAGAAGGCTTAACTTTCAGATAATGCATTTCTTCTGGAAAAATCTCCCATCCAACCTTTGTCCAAATAGTTCCATCACAGATGCAGAAGTTCTCCCTGAAGAAGCAGATAAGCAACAGAGAAAAAATCAGATATAGTTCTTGAATGGACATATTTCTTTATCAATTAGAAAAAAAAACCTATAACCTATAACACAGTGTAGAAATTCCCTGAAGCATTTAATATACTCTACCTAGTGATCATGATATAGTAAGGAAAATACACACTAATGGTCACTATGATATCATCAGTCATAGTGATTCAGGAGTAAATTCAGTGACATCATAAAGAACCACAGTCTAACTTAAAGGTGTCACCTAACCAATCACCTTGGATTTCTTAGGAGCATCAGTTCTGCCAGTGCCTTGAGTTTAGTTCAATGAAACCAAATTTGGACCAGAACTGCACAAGAATAAATTAGTGTTATTTTAAGTCATGAAGTTTGTGGTGATTTGTTATAGCAGTTGTAAGGAACTAACACAGATTTTGAAATCTGGAAGCAAGGTGTGGCTGTCACAAAAACCAAAAATGTGTAAGTGACTTTGGGATTGGATAGGGGGTAAATGGGAGAATTTTGAGGTGCATAATAGGTAAAACCTAGATTGTTTAAGGACTGTTGATAGAAATGTGAACATTAAAGACAGTGCTGGTTAGGGGTTAGAAGGAAATGAGGAACATGGTAGCAAAAGCCTGCATGATCCCAAGGTGCACCTAAATCATCATAAAAAGAATGTTGCCAGAATCAGAAGGTACTTTTGGTACCTCTGAGGGTTCAGAGGGAATGAAGGACATTACTGGAAAGTGGAGGAAAGGTGATCTTGTTATATAGTGGCAGAAAGCTTAGCTGAATTTTGTCTTCCCCCTCTATGGAAAGCTGAGCTTTCCTTCAGCAATGTGCAGAAGGCATGCCCTGATTTCTTCTTGTTGCTTACAGTTAGATGAGAAAGGAAAGAGATATTTGAGGGAACTGTTATGAAAAAGGTAAGGAGTTGATGAGCTGGGAATTTCTCTGCCTATTCAGGTCAGAAAAGTGCTGACATTAGGAGAGTCACTGTCAGGCAATTGTGCTCTGGAGAGAAATTCAGGATGTACAGTGTACAGTATGTACTTGGACAGTGTTTTGCTAGAACTGAAGAGATTAGTCATGTTCCTCAAGGATCCCTTCTGCCATCTCAGCAAACAACAGGAGTAGAAATGAGACATCCAAAAAAGTGGAAAACCTTCTTGTCTAATGGAATAGATCTTTGTGACACAAAGAAAGGCTTATAAGATTTTTGCAAATGTTACACTAGTTTTGAAAAAAGGGCAGAGAGAGGACAACATGAAAAAATGGCTGCCAGACACCTGCAGTTCTACAGGCAGAAGCGGACTGGTAAAACTTCACCTGAAAAAACAAAACAAAACAACAAAACATGCTATCTTTTGTGAAAAATGAAGAGTGGCTTAGGCTGGAGCTACAGCCTGGGGGCTAGAGTTTTGTCCCACAGGGGATTATTCCCAGGTCATGACACCTATGAGAATTTGCCTCATGGGATTTCAAAGTTGCTTTGGACTGGTGATACCTTTTTTTCCCTTCCATTTTCTCCCTCTTTGAAGGACATTGTCTATACTTTATTCTCTGCCTGTCCCATCACTATATTTTGAGAGTAAAGAACTTGTCTCCTAATTTCAGTCTACAGATGGGCAGGAATTTTACTTCAGGAAGGGTGGATCAAGACTCACACATACGTTTAGGTTATTTAAATGACCAGATTTGAGGCTTTTGAGCTGATGATATTTTAGATGATCACCTAGACATGAGTGGTAATGGGTTGAGACTTTTGGATGTGAAGATGGTGCAAATATATTTTACATGGGCGATCGATGTGAGTTTTGGGAGGCCAGAGGTTATATTATAGGGCCGGGAGAGAGGGGCACCACTGAACCCCCAAACCTGCCTCTTCCAAATAGTTTCTGCCATCTGCCACATTAAGACAAAATATGTAAGACTTTAATGGAAAGAGACTTTAATACAGTGAGTATCCAACACAGAAGACAAAGAATATAATTTCTAAATCAACCACCTGAAGTTACCCATCCCCTCATGGGTAAAAGTCTACACAAACGGGATTGGTCCAAAGCAAGGCCTGAAAGTCTGCCACAAGACTGGGACCCATAGAAAAGGGTCAGAAATGGCCAGACAAGTCTGGGAGGAAAAGAGCAAAATCAAAATCAATATAAACACTGCCATAGTCAACCTCCCCACAGGTCTCTCACCCACATCTCTTTAAACCAATCCAAGGCCAAGAAATAAACATGGTTTCTTCACATGCTCTCTGATCCATGTGGCTTCCTCAGGTCTCTTTCTGGCTCTCCACTCTGCCTCCTTCATCCCAGATTCCTCCTCTTCTCTGCTTTTTCTTCTCAGCTCCACCCTACTTCTGGATGGGACAGGGAACCTGGAACTTTCCCTTTTCCTAAGGACCACCCTATTACAGTTAGACTATGATTGGCTGAATAATGGCAGCCAAAGATGTCTAGGTCCAAACCTCTGGAACCTGTGAACATTCTAGGGCAAAAGGTGTTTTTCAGATCCTTAAGGACCTAGAGATGGGAGATTACATTGGACCTGAATGTAACCACATGTGTTTTAAAAGTGGGAAGCAAAAGGAGATTTAACATAGAAGAGGAGAAGGTGATTTGAGGATGGAAGTTGAGCTTGGATAATGCACTTTGAAGATGGAGGAAGAAGCCACCAGCCAAAGAGAACTGACAGCCACCAAAGGTTGGAAGTAGAGTGGTAAGAAATGGATCTTCCCTTTAGAGCATGGCTAACACCCTGCCTAAGCTCAGGGATACTGATTTCAGACTTCTGGCCTTTAGAACTTAAAGAGAGTAAATTTGTGTTTTTACAAGTCACCAAAGTTATGACAGTTTATTATGGAGGCCAAAGGAAACAAATCATGAACCTTTAAGTTAACTTGGAACTATTCTACAATTTACAATGTTCAGTTTTTCCTACACCGAATATGGTAAGCCCCTCCATTTTTTAAAGTCTTTTATTTCTTTCAGAGAGCTGTAATTTTATTTAAGCAGGTCTAGCAGATTTTGTGATAACATTAGTATTGGTGCTTTAGTGAATGGAGTTATCTTAAATATTGTATTTTTTTTTTTTTTTTAAAGATTTATTTATTTGTGCATACAGAACTGGGGTACAGGCCAGAGGCTCAGGGGCGGTGAGAGGCTTCACCAGAGACAGAGTGGGGAACAGAACAGGCAGATCGACGAAGTACACTGCTGAGGGGAGCAGCGGGCGGGTCAGGAGAGGTCTGCCTCGCCATGTGGACACCTCCAGGGCAGGCGGGGATAGAACTCATGCGGAAGCGGCTTTAGATTCTCAGTGCTGTGCTTTAACCCGCTGCGCCACCAGGGAGGGCCCAAATATTGTATTTTTTAAAAAAGATTTTAAAATTTATTTATGCTTACAGAACTGGGGTACAGGCCAGAGGTGTGGTGGGTGAGATGATTTACCAGAGACAGAATGGGGAGCAGAATAGGCATATCTACTGAAATACACTGCTGAGGGAAGCAGTGGGCGGGTCAGGAGAGGTCTGCCACGCCATGTGGGTCAGCCCTCTGGCAGGGAATCGAACTCGTTCTGCAGTGGCTTTGGAGAGCTTCATAATGCGGTGTTTTAACCTGTTGTGCCACCAGGGAGAGCCCTAAATACTGTATTTTTTTTTTTAAGAGAAAGATATGTTTGAACTTCTTTTGAGAGTCAAGAAGGAAATGTTTAATTTTAGTATTGGTCCTTTCTCCAGAATACATATTTTATTAGAGTGTGGTCTTTGGGGATCAAGTGTCATATTTTGTATTTAATTGTTTTTCAAAAATTTTAACACCAATTCTGGGAACACAATAAATGTCCCAAATATGATGCCAGTTGAGTTTTATCTTTCTTGAAATTCAATGAAAACAACTGCAAAAAGCCTCCTATATGCAATCTTTTTAGAGTTGTGGGTATATGGTAGCCCATTACAAACTGTTGAACACAGTTTTCACTTTTTGTCTCATTATGCATCTTATTGTCCTATTCTTTCAGATGCGAGGCTAACTCTGAAAAAATATATTGCTAAGGTCTCTGCAGGTGTTACAGACACAGAAAAGGGACAAACGAAGCTCTTAAAGGAAGACAAGGTACTGCATTGTGATTATTGCTTGTTCTGAAGTCTTTTGAGGTTTATGACATATCTTTAACATCAGTACTAAAGCTGTAGTAGTAGGTGGTGTTCCTTTCTATTCTCTTCTTCCCTTCCATCATCCTTCCTTCCCTCAGTCTTCCTTCTCTCCTTCTTCCCTGTTGTAATTAACTAGCAACGAGAGATAGTTTGATAAAAATTAAATGAAATAATAATAAAGCATGATGTGCTTTATTAGAGCCCAAAATGAATGAATCTAGAAATGTAGTATTGAGTGAGAAAACATCATCAAACACTACATAGATTTTGAAAAAACTCAAACAAGCAAACAAAAAGCAATCCATATTTCAGGGATGCCTATAAATATGCCGTAAAATTATTGAAAATTAAAACCAAAGGTATGTATACAGAGTGTGATCATCTCTTAGAGGCAGGCAGGGGATGGAAAAGGGGAGGGACACAAGCATCTTCACAATACTGGGTATGTTCTTGTTCTTCTGTCGATTAATGGGTTTGTTACAGGGTAGCCCAGAGTAGACTGGGCTGCCTGTTGTGGGGCCTCACCTGCGCACTCACAATTCAATTATACTGCAGGTACACACAAAAGGGTCAATAACGGGTTTATTTACAAAAGGGGAAAGGATAGGAAACAACCCAGGGAAAGAGAGTGGGATACAAAGTAACTGGAATAGCTTATAGCTAGGCTGACTGAACACACAGAATCATGCAGTCAGGAGAGCTACTTCCTGAGCAAGAGAGTGAGAGATGCAATTGCGCCCTTATTTATCCCCCAAATGTCCCAGAATTCCTGCTAGCTCCACCGGTGGGTCCTTGCATTTCTCCCCTGGTACTGCTGGGAGTTGTAGTTTCCAATCACTGGAGTAGGGGGTGGTGTCCAGAAAGCTGGAGTAGGGGGTGGAGTCCATAAGACTCTGCAGAGTTCCTTTAGGACATCCTTCCCCTTAACAGGTTCTCTGTTACTTGTTTTGCTATTTTGCCTCAAAACATAGCTGCACATCATATATTTTAGCACCTATCTAATCTACCTAGGCTAAAGTTATTTTAGTCTACCTATATCTATACTAAAAATTTCCTGGAAGAAAATAATGCTTTCTTAAACTAGTTACTATAAAAGCATATTTAATGCAATCTTTAAATATTTGGTTATTTGAACTGAAAAATATTACAAATTAGTCATCATTAGAAGAGAATTTGAATGTTTAAAGCAAACTTCACAGTATTCCTTTTTCTATTTCCAGTCTTATTACTCTGTACTTCTAATAATAATTTCCCTTCAATTATATAAACATATCTGTGCACAACTAGTTTTATAAGGGAGATTTTTCTTTATACAAAAATGGTATCATTCACTATACATTATTTTTTAATTTGCATTTTATTCTTAATAATATGTCATGAACATCTTTCCAAACTTCATTCTACATACTCTGCATATACATTCTGCATGTTACTGCTGCTTACAAAGCCTATATTTATTCATTTGTCTTTGTTATTACAAACCATTGAACAGTAAACATCTTATATCAGGTGCCAACCATTTGCTGTGCTTGCAGGAGAGATGGCTTTGCAGCACACTGATTTCAGCATAATGTCACTCTTGCATTCCTTGCACTTCTTCCTCTGAGTCATCTAAGAGGGAGTAAAAAGTCTTCATTGTCTGATGAGTTGCATGCAGCTCATGTCATCTAACAATTTTTTGCAACTTTTGAAAATATTTCTCTATCTTTGGCCTCAGTGAAACTAAAGTATCAGGGTGAGGGTGTAGGCTGTGACTTTGTGACTAGGTTGTGAGATTTATTATGTTCACATTCCATTACTGTTCGGGCTTCAGTGTCTAATCTAGTAGCCACTAGCCACATATAACTATTTGAATTAATTAAAATTAAATGTAATTAAAAATTCACTTCTTCAGTCCATTTGCTACTTTTCTAGTACTCAGTGGCCATATGTGTCTGATGGTGACTGTATTGGTCAATGCCCATATAGAGCATGTTGATCATCACAGAAAGTCCTGTTGGAAAGTGCTAGATTAGAGATCCTAAAGAGTTTTATTTTACTGTAGGTAAGTGGAAAGTAAGTTCTCTCTTTCTGTCTTTAGAACACCATCCTTAATGCGTGTCGTATAAAAAATGAGTGGTTGGAAACCCATTTGGAAGCTTCCATTAATGAGATTTTTGAACAGAAACAGCAATTGGAAGACACTGTAACTCTTATCTACACAAAAATGTCTACACCACGTAAGTTTTGGATAAAAAGTGCATTGAATATCAGAAAGATGAAAATTAGTTTTAATGTTGCTTTTTCTGAGGTTTCAACTTGTCTGTGTCATTATCAATACTTATTATCTTTTTCATTTTAGTCATCCTTTGGGTGTGATAAAAAACTTTACTTTTACATCTAATGTATCTGTTTTCTTTTTAGTTGGTTGTGCTTTCAGCATCACAGCTAGGAAACATTATCATTTCAAGGTCCTAGATTTACTTTTATGTCTTTTTGTTAAAAAAATAAAAGCCTTTTCATAGTTTTCTCTCATGTCTGTGATTCATTTTGAATTAATTTTTTTGTACATTATGTCATGTTGGGGTACAACTTCTTCTTTTGATTGTGAATATACATAATCTAAAGTTTTTATGTTTATCAAAAGTTTTGTCAAAAGGTTAAGATACTTAGTCTCTTCTAGATAGTATGACAGAATATCCCTTACTACACATACCTTACATATTTTGGGCATATATATATATATAAGGGATATAAGGGACACACACATATATAATATATGTGTATAATATATATATTATATATACATATAAGCATCTATCTCTCTTTAAGGGACACAGGGAAGTGTATATATATATATATGTGTGTGTGTATATATATATAGAGAGAGATGTATATATCTATATCTATATATATAGATATGTATATGTATATATGTGTGTGTGTATATATGCACATACATACATACATTCATACATACATACATATATATATATATATATGCACATACACTTCCCTATGTCCCTTAAAGAGAGATAGATGCTTTATACTGTACTTGTCTTTAAGAACACCACATCCAAGTTTATAACTAAACATGAAAATTTGAAACAATAAAAGAAATGCTGTGTATATTCTGAGAAACTTCAGTATGAAGAAAGAGGAATTGCATGAAAGAGGATGGCTAGACAGGGTGGGCTGTGAAGGGAATTCTGGGATGAAAGCACAATATGGTGAGGAGAGATTCAAATATGGGAAAGAAGGAAGTAACAGTATACATCTGACTGATTGCTGTTGAATGTCTGTTGAGGAACACTAGACAATAAGGTTGAAAAGTTAAGTTGTGATTATTTTATTAAAAATACTGAATTTTAAACTTACAAGTTTGGGTTTTATTTTCTGGGCAGTGGTTTTGGGCTAGGAGAGAAAAGGGTTTAAGTTGGGAAGAATAATCTGATTTCCTTTATACCATAGGTTGGCAGGAGAAGAGACTAGAGGGATTGAGACCAGTACAGTCCAGTGTCAAGAGGCTAAAACCTGAGTTCTTGATTCTAGAGCATAATTCCCACCTCTCCCTGCTCTCCCACTACTGTTAGCCTAGCCAGCAACTCTCTTTCTGTCAAACACCTAAGGAAGCTTGCCTCTCTTCCTAGGTCTCTTATACATCCCATTCAAAACACCGTCCTGTCTTCCACTCTATAGTATAGAAATGTTAGATCTTGATGGAACCTCTGAAACCATCCCTCATTTTTTTCTGTTGCTATAAAAGTTTACTTTTACATCATTTTGTGCCTTTTTTCCATTTCAGTTGTAATACCTGTGGGCTTCCCATCACAAATTCATCCATGTGCCATCACTATAGTCCTATGCACTTCCTCTCCTTCCCCGTTTTTCATCCCATTCCCACTCCACCCCCATAAAATGTCTCTGGTATATAGTTGTTCATTATTATTATTTCCCCCCTGGTTCTTTATGTTCCTGCTATGAGTGAAACCATCCAGTATTTTTCTTTTTCTTTCTGGCTTATTTCACTACCCATGATCCCTTCCAGCTTCATCCATGTTGTTACAAAAGGCATGAGTTTATCTTTTTAATTGCTGGGTAATATTCCATTATGTGTATGTACCACATCTTTTTAATCCAGTCATCTACTTTTGGACATTTAGGTTGATTCCATGCCTTTCCAATTGTAAATAAAGCAGCAATAAACATGACCATCCCCTCATTTTAAAATGAAGAATGTGAAGACAAGAGAGATGAAATAATTTATTAAAGTTACTCTATCCAATAGAACTAGGGCCAATAATTTTATTTACTTGGGAAAATATGGCATCACAGTTTTAAATGTTAAAAAAAGATTGTGGAAGAGTATTTGAATTGACATACCAACACCAAGTTGTTTTTTTTTTTTTAAATTTATTTATTTATTCACACAGAACTGGGGTACAGGCCAGAGATGTGGAGGGTAAGAGGATTCATCAGAGAGAGTGGGGAGCAGAACAGGCAGATGAAGAATACACTGCGAGGGTGCAGCGGGTGGGTCAGGAGGGGTCTGCCACGCCATGTGGATCTCCTCCGGGGCAGGCGAGGATCGAACTCATATGGAAGTGGCTTAAGCTTCTTAGTGCTGTGCTTTAACCCGCTGAGCCACCAGGGAGGGCCAACACCAAGTTTTAATTAATGACTAGTTGAGACTGGGAAGTGCTCTTTTGTTTCCTGCCCTTTTCTTTCTTTCTTTTTTTTTTTTTAAAGATTTATTTATTTGTGCATACAGAACTGGGGTACAGCCCAGAGGCTCATGGGCGGTGAGAGTCTTCACCAGAGACAGAGTGGGAAGCAGAACAGGCAGATCGACAAAGTACACTGCTGAGAGGAGCAGCGGGCGGGTCAGGAGAGGTCTGCCACGCCATGTGGTCACCTCCGGGGCAGGCGGGAATCGAACTCATGAGGAAGCGGCTTTAGATTCTCAGTGCTGCGCTTTAACCCGCTGCGCCACCAGGGAGGGCCCCCTTTTCTTTTTTTAATGGCTTCATTTTGTTTGTTTTATATTATAAGAGAATTAAATGTAATTTAAAAATCTGCTTCCTTTCAGGTCAAGTGAAAAGTGCCAAATCTGTATCCTAAGCTGTGGTCAGAAAAGAAGTCAAGATCATACCTCCCACCTAACATGTATTTTATTAAAGTATTTTTCGAGTATTTTTAAGAGCAAACCTATTTGTGCCAATTGAAGTTAGGAAAATAGATGTTAGGTTTTATAATACCATTTAGGTATGAAACGAAAACACCCAGTTTTGTCTTACTCTATTCAGTGTGCTTGTACCCACTCTCCCACCTGACTCATGCACATCATGTGAATTCCGTGGGCTCCTTCCTGAGGGCACTTTGGGATGAATCCCAAAGCCTGTCTGGAAGCTCTAAGATCTATTTAGAGGATCTAGCACATTTTGCATGACTAAAGCATGAAATTGTCATTCAGCTGAGGGAGTCTTTAAGAAGAGGCCTATTTCCAGTGGGATATTTATTTTCCCTCTCTAAGATGGAAAGTGATGGGAAGAAATCGGGAAGAAATCCAGAGGAAAGAAATACTAAGAATGGTTTGGATCAGAGTTCTTGACTTCTACAATGTTTTTTATGTTCAAATGAAAATTCACCTGTAAGGTGGGATATGGTTAGAAAACTTTCTTATTTCCTTGCCTTTTACGTCCTTCTATCTTTAAATTAAAAAACACAAATCTAAAGAATCTAAAGTTTTATCTTTAGGTTTCCCCTATTCAATCAGTCTGGCAATACAGATATTGTCACTGGAACCCATGTTGCTTTTCCTTCTATTATATAATGTTTGGATTTTGAATGTAATTGCTGGTTTCTCATTAGTGATTTGGAGTGTTATTTGTTCTAATGTTGCTTGTTACTAATTAACCCTCAAGCCTTTTTACTACCCATGACTTCCTAGAAAAAATGTATAGAAAAGAAAATGTAAAAAAAAAAAAAAAAAGAAACAAACAAACCCAAGAACACTTACTTATTTGTTGTTGGTTGACTTGCTCATTTTGCCCCTCCCTGAAAGGTGCTTTTTCACTGTAGGGAGGAAGGAAAAGAAATGGGAGGTTTTCCTTATTAGTCAAACATTTTTCCAAACTTGGTTTTGAGATAATACTGTTTACATTTGTCTCACAAATTTTAAAGTTTTGAATTTTTTTTTGGTGTATGAGCAATTCGATTTCAATTGCCTTAAGCAAAAGAACACTGCAATAACTTACTCTTCTCATTGGTAGACCCAGTGGGTGCTAATGGAGGGTACAAAGGAGATCCCTGTTTGCTTCAATTCTTGTATAAAGTGAAAATTCCTTTGTCTTTAAGCACTGCAATAATTTGGGAAAGGGCATGCACCCCTTTTGTAATTCCCACTTAAAAATTCCTGAGCCTTGATCTTGAATGTGAAACTACTTTCTAGGCATGTTGTCCTGCTAATGATTAGATTCTGCTAATAGTCTACTTGGGTAAAAGGGTCAACTGCATGGTGATGGATGGAAACTAGACTTTTGGTAATAAGAAAAATGTTGTGTATGAAGATATTGATATACAGATCTATACACCTGAAACCTATATAATGTTATAAACCAATGTTACTTCAATAAAAAGAAAACACTATTATTTGCTATCACGATCATTTAATAAAAGAAGAAAAACTTTTTTTAAAGAAAAGACATTTTTAACTCCTGAAAAATGGGGAAAATACAATCTTAGTATAAGGCTCTACCCTTTAAGTTGAATAAATTAAGCTTTGTTATAGACTTTTATATTTTTCTCATTTTGTCATGTATGATGGAAATTTTGTTATGAGTCACTACTGTCCTCTGGGACTGAGACTATTGGCTTTTGAGACTATTGCTCTATTCGAACCTAAAGCAGCAGGTTGCCATTAGGTCAACACAAGGCACAATTGTAAAAGGTCTGATAATGTACCCCAAGGCTTGATCTAATATGTGATAGACTGTATTTTCCAAGACTAGCTCCTCTCCCATCCCACATGCTTTTCTCACAATTTGGTCATGACATTCTTCACATGAGGGTGGGGTGGGGTGAGATGGGAATGAGGTATCTCTATTCTCCCCTCTTTAATCTGGGCAGCCCTATCACTACAGTGGAAATAATGCTATGATTTCCAGAGATCATAAAAATAGTAATAGGCAATGCCCTTTCCACCTAGTTCTCTTTGAGATATTTACCATTAGAAAACAGCCTGTGGAGAGACCCATCTGGACAGGAACTGAAGCCCATAACCCTAGCCTGCAGTCAATCCAGCCATATGAGCGGCCATGTTGGAAGGGAATCCTCCTGTTTGCTTGCTGCCAACTATACTGTGTGGAACAGAGATGAGCCTCCTCTGTCAAAATTGTAGATTTCAGGTAAATATACAATTGTTGTTTCAAGCTATTTTTTAAAAGATTTATTTATGCATACAGAACAAGGGTACAGGCCAGAGGTACAGGGTTGGTGAAAGGATCCACCAGAGACAGAGTGGGGAGCAGAACAGTCAGATCTACGAAGTACACTGCTGAGGGGAGTAGCAGGTGTGTCAGGACAGGTCTGCCGCGCCACGTGGATCACCTTTGGGGCTGGGTATCAAACTCTTACTGAAGTGACTGCGGCCAGCTTGCAGTGCTGCGCCCTAACCTGCTGCGCCACCAGGGAAGGCCTGTTTTAAGCTACTTTATGTCTTGTCTGTTATGCAGCAATATATAATATATAAATTTTTGCACCTGAAGAAATTGACATATAAGCTCAGGAAATGTGTGGCATTGCTTTTTCTTTTGGGGAACTGGTTGGTAAAGAAGCTGGAGGGACATAGAAATGAACAAGATCTTTAAGGGCCCCCAAGGCTAGTAGGAGTTTATAGGAAAGAGAGGAAACTGTTTTTAGAAACTGGAGGTAAGTAGTCCATGTTATTTGATAGTGGTAAGTTTGGCTAACTCTTGTCTGAGTGATGAACTCAGTAATCCTGCTAAGAAGTTCACGTGTTTCTAAACCTTGAAAGGAAAGAGATAGGCTGAAAAGGAAAAATTCAGTTTCAAATACATTTAAATGAACTATGCAGGAACCAGTAATTGTTGGGCTTGGAAATATTTTTTCCCCCTCTGGATAGCAATATATTTTCAAACTCATAAAAGAAAATGGCTTCTGAGAAAAGATAAACTGTCAGGTCGGATTGTTGGGTTGTTAAGACCTCGGAGATGTCTAAGGTGGTGAGGTGGAAAAGCTTTCTCAGTGCAGCTGGGAAGCTGGCTTTTGAATGCTTCAAGCAGTGATCAGCTTGGCTAAACCAAATGCACAAAGATCCCAATAATGGTATATGTATCAGCCCAAGAAATTGTCTGATTGTTCTTATCTAAGTCCTATGTGTGCATCTCTGAACCAGTCACAGTGTTGGAGGAATAAGAAACTGACTGAATCAACCTTTCTCAGTCAGATAGTCTGTTATCAGAAGATGGGGCTGTGAGAAAATACTCGCTCTCAGCTCTCAACTTTCAAAGCTACAAAATCTATTCAGCCGGTTCTACCAAAGATAGTGAAATATAAATTCACTATTACCTTCTTTAAAGCTCCATGGGAAAGATTCTAACATAGAGAAATTTGATCATATGTATGGTTTAGTTATGTTACTAGAACTAGTTACCTCTAGTTCACAGAATAGAGTGGACTCTGAATTCTGTCCAGATTTCTTGTGTGAGGGTTTTTCTAAAAGCCATGGAGTTTTGATATGTAAAACTGCATGAATCTTACATGTAGGGTCTAGGTGACCCAGATGAGAAAGAGGGGACTGCAGGTGGGAACTAGAGAGAATCTGGAAGGACACTACTCAGTGAGTGGAGGCCATACAGTTAAGGAGAGAAATCAAGGTGACAATCAGACTAGATAAGGTGAAGATAAAAATGGGAGAAAGGTGAATGAAAGCAATTAGAAGAGTTAAGTAAGGGGAAGATGGGAAAAAGTAAGGAATGGGTGTCAGGAGACAACCTATAAATAAGACAACTTAAAAAAAAGTCCTTGGGAGGAATAGACCTAGTGTCTTTTAAAGAGCCAAATTAGAAAACAACAAAATGTTGTAAAGCAAATTTTCTGAGGAATGATGCCAGGGGCCAGTTGTGGTGGTTATAGTCAGAGGTAGACATAGAACTGTTGACTGAAACTGTTTAGTCTCAAGTAGGAATTGGGACTTTCATTTGTAAAAGTTTCCTTGATACATAGTATGGAGCGGACTGATGATAGAAATCAGCAGTCTCACTGCTGTCATGTTATTCTTGGTGCCAGAAGAGGGTTTGATTAGAGTGGCATAGGAATGATAAGATAGTGTAAAATTTTTTTTAAAAGATATACTTATTTATGCTTACAGATGTGGGGTACAGTCCAGAGGTGTGGTGGGTGAGAGGATTCACCAGAGACAGAATGGGGAGCAGAACAGGCAGATCTACTGAAATACACTGCTGAGGGTAGCAGCGGGTGGATCAGGAGAGGTGTGTTATGCCATGTGGGTCAGCTCCCTGGCCAGGAACTGAACTTGTGCTGCAGTGGCTTTGGAGAGCTTCATAATGCAATGCTTTAACCTGTTGTGCGACCAGGGAGAGCCTGATAGTGTAAATTTTTATTGTGACAAAATGAGTTCCTTGAAGGTATGTTATAAATGGATAATTTTCATTTGTTTTTAGTGATTAGGCAAAAATATATGTTAAGTATCACAGAATTTGGGACTCATTTATCCTTCTATGAAGAATGGATGATACTGTTTCTTCAAACTAAGGACCAAAAGCTAGTGATAGGAGTAAAGGAGAAACATGGGAGTGAGAAACTCTCAAAGACGGAAGGAGAGTTAGAAAAATGGAAAAAAGATAAATGAAAGATTCGGAGGGGGACAAGCCAGTGCTGAAGAGGTTTAGCGTTAAGGAAAGAAAGTATCTGTTGCTTGGTCCATGTGATCATTGACCATTATGTCAGGCACACACACACACACACACACACACACAAATCAGTTAAAAACAGTTGTGAGTGCAGACACTACCTGAGCATTAAGAAATGCAGGATTCTTTGGAACTGCATCACTTAGCTTCTTCTGGATTGGGGGTGGGGGATAATGCATGTAGCCAATCAGAATAAATGTAAGTTGACAGGAAACCAATAGGAACGAGGCATGGAAGTGGCTTTCAGTGTGGTATCAGTTGGCAGTACTGTCTCTGACAAACAGACACAGAGCTGAGCACTGTTTCTGTGATTTTCATGAGCCTTCATCTTGACCTCAACTCTGAACCAGCTTAGACTTGGAAGAAATTACCTCTGGCCTGTCTTGTTTGTAGTAAAACTTGACCTCAGAGTGCAGCTGTAAGTGCAGACAGCAGGATTTGAAGATATCAAGGACCTTCAGGCTGCTGTGAGACAGGTAAAATAGTTTGAAGATGTAGCATCCAGAATCTGTCTGGGGGCCCACTCTCATTGGAATCATTGTGACTTATAGATCAAATAAAAGCAAAATAAAGAACCAAAAATGAGCTCTAGATATTGGGAACCTCTAGGAATTTTTTTGGTTAAGGCTCAGGACCACCAAATGGATTTGTGCAGGCTACATAAGGAGGCCAATGAAGTGGGTTTTGGGGGCTGTAGTCCAACCTCTTAATCCTGTGCCAAGTCATATGGCCTGTTGTGGAAGGGGAAGGGGGACTTTTTCTAAGTTACTCAGGTATCACATGACCAATTGATCATATGATCAACTTTAGTATTTTCTTTGTTTTTAGGGTATTCAGCACCCTCCCCATTCCAAACCACATTGCTGTAACTCAACTTTGACCTTTTTCTATTTGCCAGGATTTTTACCCATGGAGACAGGGTTCCCTCTCAATGAGTTCAGTTTAATAAAGTATTTATGGAGAGCCTGGCCTTTTATGCCCTGCATAATGTTTGCATTGTCTGAAGGAAAGGTCTTGGTCCTTGAGAAACTCACTATCCAATGGAGAAGGCAAATGCATTATCATATCCCACCGTGGGAAGTGCACAAGTTAATACACTCCTGCACCCAAATGCATATACACATATGGAGAAGAAACACTAACAGCAATGTTAGCATTGCTATATTTATCCTATAAAATGTTCCTGGAGCTGAGGTGGACTGAAATGTTAATGTGGGCCTGGTGGACAACAAGAAATGTGCTAGATCACAGGATGCTCAGACTCTGTCCCCTTTGTTAGAAAGAATGTGGATGCATTAGGTCTTGGTTGGTCACATTTTCTTTGTGTTTTATAACAAGTTAGTTGTACTGAAAGTGTCAATTAAACTTACATAGGAATTAATTACTTTAGGACTGAAAAATCAATGGCAAAAGTGAATTACTCTATCTTGGTTCAAAAAGAAGGGAACAAACCTGACTTACTCTGTGGAAGGTCAGCTGACTATATTGTTTTGAGGAACCATTTCCCATTGCTTGTGTGTTTCATTATTGTTTTGGGAGGTAAGTAATTGCTTTTAAATCTCATCTTTCCTTTGCACTCCAAACCTTTTTCAGCTCAGAAAGTGATCATAATTACATGAAAAGAAAAGGATACATGAAATAAGATTTGAATGAATGTTGTCAGTGTAGTGTAATTTAATTAAAAGTAACATAAACAATCTCTTCTCTCATTCAGTGACATTGACTGAGTATAGTTGGTGGTATAAGAATAACAGACAGTCCTTAACTTCAAGGAACCCTTGTTTGGGAAAGGCAGGCAAACAATTATAAAGTAGAATAGTGACTATAAATGCACAGGTCAAGTCTCTGATAATAAGGAGGAGGGAGAGTCTTGCCTGTCTGAGGGCCTAACCTGGCCCAAATACCTGGGATGGGGGGAAGCCAGTTGATTCACAAGTTGCTTATTTGGTGTCATCAATTTTGTCAATTCTGTTATGACTTTATCTTTAGGGAAGATGTACCACCCAGTCTACTCTAGAGGGGAATTATTAAGGGCTTCCCCCAAAAGGGTGTCTTAATGATTACAAATTCACCAGGTGAGGTAAAGAATACTGTGCAGAGTACCTTAATAAAAAATGCAGGTGCTTTGTGCCACAATTCTATACTAGTTATTAGAGCAGCTTCTAGTCCCCTTTAAAATTTATTTATTTGGGAAAAATGTCAACACCTTTAAAATCCTTTCTGGAAGTAAGAAGACTGTAAAAAGATTAATAATGTAGTAAGCACACATAAAAATATTCAATTTTGTTCATTGTATCAGGGGGTGAAACTGTTTTTTCTATGATTTTAAAATACTGATTACCTTGGTTCCTTGGTTTATGAGCTGTTGGTGACCATGAATTTCACTAGCTCTCGGTCATTTATAATTACATAGAGCAAATACTGCAGTGGTAAAGGAAAATTGCAGAAATAGTTTGAAAAAACATTTATCTCCCCTTATACAAGAAGTATTCATTAAATATTTACTATGGGCTTGACCTATAGCTAAAAGACAGGGAATGCAAAAACTGGGATTCCAGTAACTCTTGCCCTAGGTATTAATTGAGTTACAAGACTATTGCCTCTAGAGAAAAAGAACCAAGTAGCTGGAGAGAGAATAGTTAATTTCAAGTGCAGCAAATGCATGTAGACAAAGAATAATAAGAATGTTTTGTTATTTATCTGGTGAAAGAAGTTTTCCCTATGGTTGGAGCTCAGTTAAAAGTACTTCTGAGGAAACCCATGGGAAACCCACGGGGATTACAATTGAGATGAAAAAAAAAAAGTACAAAATAATGTAAAAATAAGCTATTATAAAAAAGGTACTTCTGAATTTTAAGAAAATGATTATGTGGCTATAGTTTAGGAAGAATAAGTATTAATTAAAGGTGAGTAGATAGAAAGTTTGAGCTTTCATAATTTTTCTACCACATCCACAGGTCAGATACCTGTGCCTGTAGTAGATTGTTGGAAACTGGAATTGTTGGAAATTTGAAATTTGGTTGTTCCAAATTCACTTGTGAGAGATTCCTTATTTGCATCTTACACTAAAGTGAGAGCACTTATAATAGCTATTAATTATTCATAATGGTTGGCCTTTCAGAGGAAGTTTAAAATTGAATAACTAGAGAGAAGAAGGAATATGGAGTTATTTTAAAACCATGTATTATGTGTAAATAATACACAGATGCATTTTTCTTTTTTAGGATTTCTGAGGTCATGTTTAAAGAATTCCGATGTCATTGTCTTGATAGTTCTTTCTCTATCAGGATATTTCATAGGACTACTGGCCTACAATTCAGTTGAGGTAATGTATGTACAGAAATTAGAGAATTAATTCAAGGGCAAAGATCAAAAACCAAATCTGCTTCTTTCTCTACTCCTAATGTATGAAATAAAAAAAAATGTGAGTGGCTAATGAAAATATTTTATCTGATATTAAAATTTTTGAAAGTGAAATGCTGTACAAACAAGGAGAAGTAAATTAGAGATGCTTATATTAAAGCATGGATTGGAAGTGAGGAAAATTTGATTGTCTTCTTGTGTTCATTATCATCTGCCTTTGAAGACTTGCTGTTGTTTCCTTCCTCTGTATATTTACTGACTTCTTGAGTGCTATGTCTTTAACACATGTGGAAACTAGTTATAAGAGGCAGTGATTGTCATGATGAGACATAACTCATTTCGAATAGCCAGATTAAATGCAGATTATAAGTGTCATATAATATAGAAAAAAATTAAGTAATTTACTAACCTATTTATTTGATTTCAAATGTGCAGCGATGTAAACAATAACAGATCATCTCCAGGCACTCTTTTATTTTTTAAAAGTGGAGACAATAGTACTGACTTAGAATTGTGAAAAACCTGTTCTGAAACACCACCATGATTGTTAGTGACATCTTTTGAGTATTTACTCTGTGCTATGCTGTCAATTCTTTGTATTTATTATTCACTTACTAATTTGTGTTAATTTTCATTTACATAGTAACCAACAGAAATAGGTACTCTATTCCCATTTTACAGATGAGGAGACAGAAGTCCAAAGTTAAATAATAAAGATTCATGTATTAGCTGAGCCAAAACTGGTTTAGGAGAAAATATTTGCATATTTCAATCACTATTGCTGTGCTTTTCAATTCATCTGTGTCTAACCATTATGATTTATGTTATATGTGCAAATGGTACTATTATCTCTGCATTATTTTTTTCTATTTGACTCACTGAAAGAATTTTAAATCCTAAATCAAAGTCCGTGAAACCACAAATACCTATGCAAATTTCTTTTTACCCTTTTCATAGAAATTAGAATAGATATCTAACAGTCAAACAAAAAATGCTTATCTCTGAGCTACCTAAAATTGTCTCAGGGATCACCAATGGTAGGACTGCCTACCACTTTTGAAAACACTTGTTATTTGCTGCAAATTATGTTCATGTAGCCTAAACTCAATGATTCTCTGATGAATACAACTATACATAAAACTCGTCTGGACAGTTAGGTCAAAAAACAAGTTCCCCAGGTCTGGCCTTGCAGCTGTGTCTTATTAGTTACAAATTGAAATATTCTAAAATTTATGCTGATTGGGATAGCATCAATCTCACTTCAAATGACAGCAAACTAATTTCTTGCTTGTCTTTTTGTTTCAGGTGCACCAAGTAGTTTACCCGCTTTTGAAAACACCAAGTTATTCACTTTTTTGTTATTTTGCACCTTTAATTATATTTATGGCTGCTTTGGATGTGGACTTTTATATACTCAAGAATGTGCTTTGGCAGGTAAGAACACATTTTCAAATATGTTAAGTTCTTGCTTATTCATGTTGACAGAAAATGACTGTATAAAACTCAATTTTTTAGTTGTTTTATCCTCATCATTCTGCAGAATCACTAGTTAAAGATTGTTGAGAGGGAGGCAGAATGAGTATTTGCTGAGTGACTGCTGTGAGTAGGCACTGAGTAACTATCACATCCATTTGGCAGAGGAGCAGACTATAGCTAACCGGCCAAACACAAGCTGATTAATAGCAGAAACCTGGGTTCTAATCCCATGTCTGACTTCATTGCAACTGCATCTAGATTGCTCTGTTTTAACAATTCAGTGCTTTTGTCTGTGCCTCCACTCTCTTTTTGATTATTTAATCATGCTTGTCAGATTACTTTATTTTTTTTTCTTGGAAAGAACAATTTACTTTCTCTGGTTTTATTCTGTTCTTTTTGTAACAATTTGGGCTAGAGATTGAGTGATTTTTAGCTTTTTTACATTTTATACATTTGTGTTACGTTTTCCTCTAACTACTTTTTTCACCTCATCCCAACTATTTTTATTTTTAATTTGTCTTTATTATCACTACCCAAGTTTTATTATACTTTTTATTGACCTGTTTAATATTTAGAAGTTGTTCTAAAATTTTTAAATATGATGTTTCATTGTTATTTCTCTTACCACTTTATAACCAGAGAATATATTTTGTATTTCAGCTTTTGTGATATGTGGGGATTTGCTTTGTGTCTTTTGCATCATCAGTTTTCCAAACTGTCCTGTGTTTGCTTTATGAGATAATGTGTTCTTTAATTGTTGCTTGTGTTTGTTCTGTAGCTTTTTTTGTTGTTGTTCATCATGAAGTTTGGCTATCAATATTGTTTTTCAGCTCAATTTAACAATCTTTCATTATGACTGTAATTTTCCAAATTCCCCCAATTTGCAATTCTGTTAGTGTGAACTTTATATAACTAGAAAGTTTTATCAAAATGCCTACTTTTACTACTTAGTGTTTTCTTTTACTTAATACTTTCTTTGCTTAGTACTTCATACCCCAAATGCTTTTCCTTAAGTCAGTCTCATCTGGCATTTCTACCATTATGCCCATTTTCATTTAGTTAGTAATTTTTCCATCCTGTCATTTTCAAGATTTGGTGCCCTTGTATTTAGATGTCCTTTCAATAAAAGACAGTTAGATTTTGTTATTTTATCCAAGTTGAGAAACTCTGCTGTCTTAATAATTAATTTATTATTTATTGTGATTAAAAATAGATTTAGAAGAGCCAATAGTTTTAACAGATTGATACACCAAGGAAAAGATGTGGATGGAAAATAAAATCTTCAAAGATTCTCAACATATAAGTCATTAGGGAAAACAATGAATTAAACCCATAATTAGATAAACTGCATATTTACTAGAATGGCAACAGTCACAACAATAATTGTAATACCAAGAGTTGGAAATAATATGGAGAAACTGGTACTCAAACATTGCTGGTGAGAGCAAACTGGTGTAGCCAGTTTGGTTTGAGAGTTAAATGTGCACTTGTTATATAACCAAGCAGAAAATGAAAACCTACGTTTACATTAAACAAGGGAATGAAGACTTAGGTTTACATTAATACCTGTATGTGAATCTTTATAGCATGTTTATTTATAATCTCAAAAGTGTAAAAATAACTAAAATGCTCCTCAGCCAGTGAATGGATAAACAAATGATGGTATATCTTACAATAGACATTACTCAGCAATAAAAAAGGAACATAGTCTTGATAAACGCAACATGGAAAATTTTCAAATAGCTATGCAAAGAAGAAGCTAGACTAAACAAAACTACCTACATATTATATTATTCCATTCATAGATCTACAGATGTGTCTAGAAAAAGGAAAACTGTGTTTAGAGGATAGATTACCTATTGCAACAACTGAAGATGAGGGGAAAATTGACTATAGAAGAATCAGTAGCAGAAGGAAATTTTGGGGGTGGTGGATTTTTTTTATTGAGGTAACATTGATTCCCAATACTGTATGAGCTTCAGGAGCATGGCTTTACATCTTGACAAATCTATTATATACCATAACACATTTCCCACCAAGGGTCTGGTTACCATCCAATCAACTCCCTCTTCTTCCCTTTCATTTTTGGTAACCACTATTTTGTTGTCAGAATGTAAGGGTTTGTTTTTTTATTTTGCTGTGTTTCTTTATATTTCACATCTGAGTGAATTATGCAGTGCTTATCTATTTCTGACTTATTTTACTTAATATAATCCCCTCAACTTCCTTCCAAAAAATTTTTATAGCTGAGTAATATTCCGCTTATGGAATATTTTATACACACACATACACACACACACATACTCCACACATCTTTATCCATTCAGCCATCAATGAATGCTTAGGTTATTTCTATATCTTGGCTGTTATGAATAGTGCTGCCATGAACACAGGAGTGCATATATCTTTTTGAATTAATAGTTTTATAATCTTTAGATAAATGCCCAGAAATGGAATTCCTGGATTATAGGTAGATCTCTTTTGAGTTTTTTTGAGAAACTTCCAGGCTATGTTTCATCATGGCTTCAGCAATTTATAGTTCCTGCAAGAGTTATGAGGGTTCCTTTCTCTTCCATATTCTTGCTCTTTGCTAGTATCCATCCTAGCAGGTGTGAGGTGAATCTCATGGTGGTTTTGGTTTGCAGTTCCTTAATGGGAAGTGACTGAAAAACATCTTTGCATGTGTTTACTGTTTATCTGCATGTCTTCTTTGGTGACATGTCTGTAGGTTCTCTGACCATGTTTTAATTGTTCTTTGTGGTTGAAATGTATGAATCGGTGATATATTTTGGATAGTAACCTCTTGTCTGACACATATATTGCAAATATCTTCTCTCATGCACTAGGTTGTCTTTTTTTTTTTCTTAATTGTAGTCCTGGTTAAATGACTATGCATTTGCCAAAACTCATATAACTGTATTACAAAGAAGAAAATTTTTACTGTATATAAATTGAAAATAAATAAAACTAACAAAAGAAATAGATCTGGACTTATTTCTCTCTCTATTTCTTTTGCTTTGTATTTGTGATGATTTTCCTTTGCTTTTCCTCATAGTTTCTCCCTTCTCATTCAATTAAGTTGATTCAGATTTTATCATTCAATTTGTTTCTTTTGCTTGTTTGAAAGTTTTATATTCTATTTCTATTTTTCAGGCAGACACTACTTACTTCCTATCTGATATGCATTATCCCTTTTTTTGGTAACAGAAAATCACTATTTTTGTTTGGTATGGTTCTGGGCCTAGTGTGAAAATACTGCATTTACCTTCATTTGAGGTTACAACAGTGACCAATTAAGTGCATGTACAACAGTGATCAATTAAATGCACATAAAAGTTTTCTACCCTCTTAAGAGAAATAAAACGATCTCATTTGTTAGAAGGGATGATTTCATTTGATGCAAGTAAACTAAAGTTGTCTTTCAGAGTAATTGTATAAAATATATATAACTAAGATCTGATTCTTTAGACATAAGTAAATTCAGTCATGCCATCTTCAGATGTTAAATCTAATTCTATGTTATGAATTGGTTCCACAGGTCCTGTTAACAGGATTAATTAGCTTTTCTACAGCCTTCCTCATAATTGGATACATCGTTCTGAAATACAATAAAGATTCATGGGATTTACAGTCTTGCCTACTCTTTAGCATGACCCTTTCTATTACAGACCCTGTGTATTCTGTGAATTCACTGAAACGTTTTGGTATGTCAGGTTTACTTCTCTCTCTTATCTTGAAGATATGAGGATGAGTTATTTTATTTTGATTATACTTGTTTTGCATGAATTGTGTATCCAGTAGAATTGGTGTTTGTGTTGTTTTTCTTGGAGATGGAGCATTGATTAATGTGAAAAATATTATAAAACAATCTGAGATCTGGGATGAATAGTACAAATTGCAACAGTATAATCTTCAAGAATATTTTTGAAGAAGAAAATGTAACCTTTCCAAATGGTGATAAAAATTAGCATTCTCACTCTATTCCACAGAATTCCACTAGAGCATCTACTCTTCTCCAAATAAAACTTTTTCAAGGTATTGATTGCTAATTGAGATTTGAGCTGCCTCCATTTGGGAGTACCTAACCTTGGGCAAGTGGTTCACAGCGTTAAAAAAGTAGTTAAAAACAATGGGGTATGAGTACAGTCTAGCAAATGTTATTCAGTAAAAGCTTATTCCCAGGAGGGTTTGTAGGCCTGCCCTACTTTCTATCTCATTTGGTGAAAGTTGATTTCACTCTGAAATATACCCCTGTTAGCATGTTTTATTAACACAGTTATATAAAATTGTGAATTGGTTAGATGCTGTGGGGGTTTTTTTGGTTCAAAAAAAATTTTTTTAAAGATTTATTTATTTATACATATAGAACTGGGGAACAGGCCAGCAGTATCACTTGCTGAAAAGTTGGAAGTTTCTCACGCCAATGAGGTTAATATATACCAGGTAATATATTTCCACTAAATATAACTGATACTTCAAAATTTGATTAAAAATTCTGAGCTAGGACCCTCCCTGGTGGTGCACCGGGTTAGGATGCTGGTGGTGCAGTGAGAGGATTCACCAGAGACAGAGTGCGGGACAGAACAGGCAGATCGACGAAGTTCACTGCTGAGTGGAGCAACTGGGAGACAGGAGAGGTCTGCCGCACCATGTAGATAACTCCCTGGGTGGGGATCGAACTCGCACTGCAGCGGCTACAGCTAGCTAGCAGTGCTGCATCCTAACCCAGTGCACCACCAGGGAGGGCCCTAGCTCAGAATTTTTAATCAAATTTTGAAGTATCAGTTATATTTAGTGGAAATATATTACCTGGTATATATTAACCTCATTGGCGTGAGAAACTTCCAACTTTTCAGCAAGTGATATTCCCATTTTTACATCCTACAGTTCTGGTAGTATAGGAGGTTTTAAGACACTTTTGGTGGTGATTTTCTAAAATAGCAGAAGATATGTCTTCACAGAGTTTGATTGTATCTTTTCCCCTCATCCCTTCACCTGTCTTCCTTTCAGCCTTTGGTGTTTGCCACTTGATTTACTCACCTCACTTTCTTGCTGCTCTCTTTGCAAATCTCTAGATTGTAAGTGGCTACACTAAACTGTAAACTTTCATTATTTACTGTAGTTTCTATGTTAAATTCCTCCCACACCCACCCCCCCCAAGTAATATGGAGAAAATGCTTCAGTTCTTTAAACATAGTGAAGATATTTGACTCCTAATTAACATTTCTCTATGTCAATGATTCTTAGGTGGTACACTGGTTTTAGATCCAGTAACATTTTTTTCATTAGTTAAGATAATTGTGAAAATAATTCTTACTTACTTATGGTGTTGACAGAGTCCTTTTGCAATTAAATAAATAGACCTTTCTTTAAAACAGTGCACTACTAATTGTCATGATACATTAAATTTTTTAAGAATTTTTTTTTGGCGATATACCTAAAATAACCATAATAATATATAAAACTGCAGTTCCTACAATGTGAACAGTGCTTCCTTTGATGTGGTACTCTTTGTGTTGAAAGTACTACATGGCTCCTCCCTAGTGACCCAGGGGATTAAGCACAGCACTCTGTGTGGCACTATGGCATGAATCAATCCCCCTCTAGGGAGGTGACCCACATGGCACAGCAGACCTCTCCATATCTCCAGCTGCCCCCCTCAGCAGTGTATTTCATTAAATCTGCCACTCTGTCTCTGCTGAATCTCTCACTTCCTGCAATTCTTGTATGCATAAATAAATAAATCTTCTTTTAAAAAAGAAAAGAAAATATTACATGGTCATAGGCAAATTAACACAAGTAAAAGGAAGTTTGCTATTCATGCTCTGATTTAAAAGCACATACAGGGATTTAAATTTTTGCTTTACATCAAGTATGGAATAACAGAATGGAAAAGATATAAAATTTAGTATGATCTCGATTGAGTAAATATATTTTATATTTAGACAAATGTTTTAGCTTTAAAATGGTTTCATCTGGAGTTGAAATTAGAGATGTTTTTTGTTTTATGCAGTGCAGGATCATGCCCCTGATAATAGACAGATCGAGTTCAAGGTTGTCCTTGCTGTAGTTTCTTACCTGGACAGTTCCCAGGCCTCAGTGCAGAGAAAGCTTACCCTAGGTGGAGCATGGTGGTGCCCTTGAGTTGGGGACATTCAGAGCTGGCAGTCCTGTAAGGCCAAAGCAGCTGAAGCTCACTGGGCATAGGAATGCAGAGGAGAAAGCAACATTAAGGGAGGAGTTTCAAGAGCTGCAGACTGAGCTCTGGAGTCAGAATGCAGTCTCTTTAGTAAATGCTTGTGGAAAACTGCCCAAAACTAAGGGGAAGAAGACATTTGAAAGAACAAAGATAACAATCACTTTTGTCACTACTTGTCAGCATGGAGAACCTTATAACTCATGGGATAGCAAGTAGAAGACTGAGGTTATTGCCTTAATAGCAGGAGAAATCGGCCTCAGACTATAAACACTGACAGAATAAAAAGCAAGTCTCAAAAAGTTCAAACTGTTTCTAATGAACCATTAGAACAAAGCTAAAAATAGCTATAGGAATACAAGAATGTTCAGCATCTAATAAGCATTTAATTCTGTCCTCTGTAATAAAAAATTAACAGGTACCAAAGAAGTAGAAAAATGTGATCTATAGAGTGTACAAAAAATAGAAACAAACCTGGCAGTGATGCAGATTATCAAATTAGTAGGCAGTTAAAAATTATTAGGCTGCTAAAAACTAATTCTGTACTTGGTCTTAGCCAAAAGGCTGAAAACTTATTATAGCCGTGCTCTAAATGTTCAAAAGTAGCAAAACGATTGAGTGAGAATGAGGAGAATCTGCTCTTATCAGCTTATAAGGACCAGTTGTTAAGTAGTTAGTCAAGAATTGTGTATGCCAGTTGTTAATCCATGTAACTTCGAGTTGTCTTTAAATTGGGATTGTTTACACATTGGATTGGCAAATGCACTAATCATGCTTTATTTTTTAACTTTGGGGAGCAGAGTTATTAGTATGCCATTGGACATGGTAGATATAAAGTGACCTAGGTGAAATTTTTTAGAGAAACTCTCGAGAATTTCTACAATTTGACTTAGTGATGTAGGTTAAAATGTTAGACACCATGATGTCGGAGGTGAAGGAGGTACTGGTGGAATAGGCATCAAATAAAACACTGTCAAAGAAGGAAGTAGAAGAGGCAGAAGCAGAAAATATCCAAAAGTGAAGCACAGACACAAAAAGACTGAAAAAAATAAAAGAAAATTGGTGAGAAAGAAGAGGAAAAAAGAGAAGAGAAACAAGTTATTTGAAAAAGTGATGGATGATAGTATTTTAAGTTGATGAAAATGACAAAGTCATAGGTTTAAGAAGCTCAACAGGGTCCTCCTTGGTGGTACAATGGGTTAAAGCACAACACTATGAAGCTGACTGGAGCCGCTTCAGCACCAGTTCGATCCCCAGCCAGGGAGGTGACCCACATGGTGCAGCAGACCTCTCCTGACCCGCCCACTGCTCCCTTCAGCAGTGTATTTCAGTACATCTGCCTGTTCTGCTCCCCACTGTGTCTCTGGTGAATCCTCTCACTGCCCCTGCACCTCTGGCCTGTTCTCCAGTTCTGCATGCATAGATAAATAAATCTAAAAAAGAAAAAAAGAAAGAAAAAGCTCAACAAGCCCCAAGTCCAAGAAACATAAGGACAACTGCCCTATGGCACATGAAAAAATACTTCCTAAAAACCAATAATAAAGAGGAAAAAAATTGAGATAGCAAGAAGAAAGGACATATTATATAAAGAAGAACTAAACTAATAATGGTTACAGGCCTAAAGAATGTCCATATCAAAAATTTTATTAGACCAACAAGCTGACAAGTTTGTCCTAAGTGAATAAAAAGTAGTAATCACTTTTAAAGACTAATTCAACCATTTTTAATGAACATTTTCATGAGCAATGTGGTGAGGCCTTTCTACTTTTTCCAGTTTTATAGTGGCAAAGTTCATATTTTTCTTGGAATTTTAATATGTATTATTGATTGGAAAAGCTAAATTGTTATTATACTTGTTTCCAACAGGAAAATCCACATGTAGGCACTTAGTTAAAGGAGTAGGTTTAAACGCAGCAGGTAGAATGAAATTTCAGTCATTTGCAAAAATAGAAATACCTGCCATTGATAACAGACTTTTACTCAGAAAGAAAGCAAACCAAATGATGGGAGAGCAACTACCCCATGGCACAGATACTAAGAAAAAAACACTACCAGCTTCGAATTCTCAGGAAATATCTTTCAAACTCAAAGGTGACACAAAGCTTTCTTAAACACATAAATTTTGAAAGGATTTGTTACTAGCAGACAAACTGATTCAAAAAATGTTAAAGGAAGTCCTTCAGGCAGAAAAAATTTGGATCAATATAAATAGAGAGGAAAAGCACCCTAATTGATAAACATGTAGGAAAATATAAAGCTTTTTCTTCTATTTTTTTAAAAAGATAACTAATATTTAAAACAAAATGTTAGCAATCTGTTATGGAATTTTTCTGCTCCTGAATCTTTTGTGTATAATTTCTTTTTTTTAAAGATTTATTTATTTATGCATACAGAACTGTGATATAGGCCAGAGGTGTAGGAGCGGTGAGAGGATTCACCAGAGACACAGTGGGGAGCAGAACAGGCAGATTGGTGAAGTACACTGCTGAGGGGAGCAGTGGGCGAGACAGAAGTCTGCTTTGCCATGTGGGTCACCTCCTTGGGGATCCAATTCATGATACAGTGGTTGCAGCTAGCTTCATAGTGCTGCCCTTTAACTCATTTCACCACCAGGGCCCTTTTGTGTAGTTTCCACCCTTAGGATCATAAGTTGGCTGCTCATGGTCCAGCCAGCATATCCACTACAAATAAGAAGGGCAAGGGACTGGAAGATGCTCCTTTCAGTCAAGCTACCTCTCCCTCCAAGAAATTTGACTCGATGACTTCTACTCTTAGAATCGCAAGAATTGGCAGAAAGTGGATGTTTAATTAGACATCTTATTGCCTTGAATCAAACAAGTTTTGTTATCAAGATAAACAGATAGTATATGCTGGAAAGCTGGGTACCAGTCCTCATTACCTTTCTCCTAAGTTATGTGTCACTAGGCAATTAATTTGGTTCTACTGTCCGTTAAACTTAAAGTGACTGTTAAGTGCTGACATGATTTTGCACTTAATTTTTAATAATAGCTTTATTGGGATATAATCCACATACCATAAGATTCACCCTTTAAATCCACATACCAAAAAAATGCACAATTAAGTGGCCTTCACAGTTATGAAGCCATTATCACCATTTAAGTTTTGAACATTTTCATCATCTTCCAAAGATGTCTCATACCCATTAGCAGTCCTCCCCTGCTCATCCTCTAAGTCCTTGGTGAAAATATATTTTCTGTCTATGGATTTGCCTAATCACATAAATTTGCCTATTTCATGTAAATCAAACATACGGTATGTGATTTTTGTCTGGCTTTTTTTCTTGTTTATAAGGTTTATCTTTATTATAAAATGTCAGTACTTCATTTCTGTGACTGAATAACATTCCATTCTACCTCTTTGTTAATCCATTCATCAGCTGATAGACTATGGATTATTTCCACTTCTGACCATTATAATGCTGCTATGAATATTCATGTACAAATTCTTGTACCGACTTAAGTTTTCAGTTCTTTTGGGTTTGTATGTATATATATGAAGGGGTCAGATTTCTGGATTATATTTTAACTTATTCATAAAGTGTGATTCTTTTGGGATCTAATGATTCATGTTTATTCAAGTTACATATAGTGTCCTAAGAAGTGCTTTGTTTCATTCTGAAGCTCAAGCCTGGTTTGACACTGTGAATACTTTAAAGAATGTTGTTGCCATGTTTCTGTTTATAGACACATGATTTCTTCCCCTTTTCCCCCTAGTATACTCCTTTTCTTGTATTTTTATGTATCCTGTGCAAGATCCTGTGGATCACTTTCATGTACAATATTAATTTCATTTTCTATTTCCTTTTCTAGGCGTTTCCAAATTGTACACTGATATCATTAGAGGAGAATCAATGATCATTTGTGGTTTCACAACCATTTTTTTTGGAAATTTTCGGACTAACTTAGTAAGCCCTTCCACCTATAAGGGTAGGAGCATTTTTTTTTTTTAGCATCTATATATGTTATAAAATCAGTCTTATATGGTATACTGCAATTCACACTGAATTTAAAATATATTCAAGATGTCTTAACTTTACTGCTCTCCCTATACTTTGCTTTTGGACTAATGAAAATAGTCTCCAGGCAACAAGAAAATAATTACCATCTTTGTGTTATCTTGGACATGAGAGGGGAAGGATGTTAAAGAAGTAATGTATTTCTTATTGCTCAATATGCATGTATGTACAGATGAGAAGACGCACACAATTGTGTCACCTGGCTCAGATTTTTTTTTTCCTGGATCAATCGGGCGCTCAGATTCTTTAAGTGCATGTCAAGAATTGGTTTTATACTGGATTTGAGCTTGAAAGTGAAAACAGAATGGTTCAGGTATTAGAACCTAAAGATAAAGACTCATGTGGTTACAATTTATTGGGATACAGAGCAAAGTGCTTTGCTGGAGTTGTAGATTTAGAGAAATGGGCGAATCACAGCATAAAGAATTAAAAAGATATCTTCCTGATATGTTTATGTGATGATTGTAAGAGGAGAGAAGTACAAAAAGGAAAAGAAACGTTCATGATAAAGAGAAGTTTAGATGCTTCTCAGCTGGGCAGCTATAGGTATTTTGGGTGTTGCTTATGATGACCTTTGTCACTGCCTGATACTTGCCCACCTATTGCCTCTATCGTCCCCTGTCACTATGACTACGGAAAAATTTCCATTCTCCATGTTCCATAGGACCTGAGGGGTGGGTGTAGGGGTCACAAATGGACTGCATGTTGGTGGGACGAAAGGCTTAGTTTGTGTGGCCCTGACATAGTTTATAAAAAAATTTGGTTGGCTATTCTTTTCTGATTTTTTTAAAAGATTTATTTATTTATTCATACAGAACTAGGGTACAGGCCAGAGATACGGAGGGTGAGAGGATTCACCAGGGACAGAGTGGGGAGCAGAACAGGTAGATCGATGAGGTACACTGCTGAGGGGAGCAGCGGGCGGGTAAGGAGAGGTCTGCCTGGCCATGTGGATCTCGTCCGGGGGCAGGCGGGGATCGAACTCATGCGATAGTGGCTTAAGCTTAGTGCAGTGCTTTAACCCGCTGCGCCACCAGGGAGGGCCTCTTTTCTGATTTTTTTTTTTTAAAGATTTATTTATTTATTCATACAGAACTGGGGTACAGGCCAGAGGCTCAGGGGCGGTGAGAGGCTTCACCAGAGACAGAGTGGGGAGCAGAACAGGCAGATCGACGAAGTACACTGCTGAGGGGAGCAGCGGGCGGGTCAGGAGAGGTCTGGCTCGCCATGTGGTCTCCTCCGGGGCAGGCGGCAGGCGGGAATCGAACTCATGCGGAAGTGGCTTCAGATTCTCAGTGCTGTGCTTTAACCCGCTGCGCCACCAGGGAGGGCCTCTTTTCTGATTTTTAACAAGATTTTCAAATTCATGCTTTTGAGGCAGCACTTGAGTTTGCTGTCATGGATAAGCAAACCTCAAGCTGCGGACTGTAAGGATAGTATATCCTCTGCACCTCTTGCTACATTTTCTTGGTAAACTTCCATCCATCTGCTAACTAGTTCCCTACTCCAGACTTCAAGAACAAATCAAAGTGCATAGACCCAAATGCTGTCAATGAAAGGAACAAAAGTTATAGTTCAACTTTCCCTTTTTAATTTCTTTTCTAGAGTTTCACATAATCATGGGTCTCAGCTTGGACATTGTAGGAAGTATAATGTGTGGATACTGGTGTGCAAGAATCATTCAGTTTATATTGACTGACCTTTTCAGCAACACACTGACAAACATCGTTCTTTGCATTTCCATGGTGTACATGACTTTCTACTTAGGTAAGGCTGAAACAGATTTAAAAAATAGCATCCTCAAAATGAACTGTATACATTGTTGTTTTCTCTTGATCTTGAATCCAGGTGCTTCTTCCCAACTACTTTGCCCTGTTGTGTTTCCTCATGAGCCTTGCCATATCATCTTCCAGCCACTTCTAGGTCTTTCATGGTCTCTCTTAATATTCCCTTAATTTTATTTATATGCGCCTACCCTTCCCACCCCTGTGTGACGGCTCTCTCATTCTTTGACCATACATTTAGTCACAGGCATTCTCCTGGAAGAGGAATCAGTAATGAGCTGATTCCCATTCTGACTCTTAGCAATCCATCTCTAAAATGAGAAAGCTGGGAGAGATTCTCCTATGGTCTTTCCCATCTAAACAGTTTTTAATTCAGTGAAGGGATTGTAGAAACAGTGGACCATACTGAGGCTAGGAGGCAGGAAGAAGGTGATGAAATTAGGTACCTATTCAAGTACAGAAGCAGGAGAGTGGAATAACTCAGGAGTCAGCGTGCCTTGCCATCAGTAATTATTTGCTAGTTTAGCTCAGTGAGATTGAGATTCCAATTTTTTACTGGCCTGCCTGAAGTAATCAATCTCCTAGATCCATAGGAACTACTGTGAAACTCAACATCTGCTCTTACCTCACACATTGGAACAACTTGCATCCATGAGAGACCTCAGATATCAGGAGGGTAATTACTACTTCCTTCTCCTCCAGTCACCTAAACGCATTACTTCCTTTACAGAAACATTCATACTTATATGTTGCTTCCTCCCCTGAGTGAGTAAAATTATAGAAAATAGTAACCCAAGGGCCATTGTCGTAAGCTTTTGTCATTTTCTTCCTTCCCTCTAACCCTTTATGCGTGCCCTAAGTATCTAAAAAAAATATTTTAAATCTAGTATTTCCACTTCTCACTAGCCCATGAGATCATTAAAAATGAAGTATCCGTTATTTATCTTTCTAGTTATTATCTTTTCTATGTTTCCTCAGCTAAGCTCTGTATTTATAATATGTCCAGAAGTAATTTAACACATGTTGGCTGAGTAGACTGATACTGATCCTCAAAGAGCTTTAGAGTTAGGCAGATGAGTTCAAATCCAGGCTTCACAATTAGATGGATACCTTGGCATGTTATTTATGCTCTCTAAGGTTTAGTTTCTTTATCTATAAAGTGATACAATATATCTAACAACATCTCATTTGTAGGGGTATTGAAACACTAATGAGATAATATGTGTGATGTGACTCACCAGAGCTGATAGTGAGTCCAAATCTGTGCTGAAGACTCTCATGTTGGTAACTTGAAATTGACCATAAAGGAATATTTACACCATGGAAATTGGCAGATACTAATAACCAGGGCTTTTTTTTTTCATCCTCAGAAAGCTGTTTTTATTTATTTATTTAAAGATTTATTTATTTATGCATACAGAACTGGGGTACAAGCCAGAGGTGCAGGGGCAGTGAGAGGATTCACCAGGGACAGAGTGGAGAGCAGAACAGGCAGATCAACGAAGTACACTGCTGAGGGGAGCAGCGAGCGGGTCAGGAGAGGTCTACCGCACTATGTGGGTCGCCTCTGGGGTAGGCAGAGATCGAACTCATGTGGAAGTGGCTTTAGCTTCTTAGTGCTGTGCTTTAACCTGCTGCACCACCAGGGAGGGCCCAGAAAGCTGGTTTTAAACATTTACCAACATACCACTGGGTTCAAGAGAGTAGTCAATACCTGTTTGTTCCCTCCCCATTTCCTTCTATTAATAAAATACCAGAGGGACTTACAATTAGTGCATGAAGGCCTGGAATAAGTTCTTCCTCAGTGATCTCAGATGGAACCAAAGCCTTTATGTTGGACCTCTAACCTGAAGAATTATGAGACTGTACATTTTCATTGTTTAAGACACTTAGAGTGTGGTACTCTGTTACAGTAGTCTCAGGAAACTGATATACCCCTTCTGCTTCCATTGCATTGTTCTCTGCTTCCAAAATTAAGAATTGACTTTGGGGAGGCCTTTACTTTTATACTTAACAATTTTCTGACAGTAAAAGTCAGTAACAGACACGGTTATAGAAGTTCCGTTGCCAGAAAGCCACAGATAAAATGCTCACTTATATATCCACTGATGTTCCATTTCTGTCTTGATATCTGATTTTGTTTTCACAAATGACCACACTGTCAACCAGTTTAAGTCCAGGGAGTTCCTGACGAAGGTTAGAGACTTACCTCTTTGGGTGCATATAATAATTTGTTTTTGTCTTCATTTTGTTAAATTCAAGAAACCTGAACTTCTAGAAATCTCTTGTATATCAGGCTACCCATTCATTTTATTGAAATAAAATGATAAAAAATTGCATAGACTTTGCTACACAAAGAATGCAATGTTTCCAGAGAATTGTTGGTTGATAGGTAGGCCATACGTCAGCCCATGGAAGAAAGTCTAAATTTAGTGTACAAAAGCCCCTTTAAGAGAGTCAGTGTGTAATTCATGGAAGGTGGTGAATTATATAAAAGTGCTGGCCCCTGGCCAGAGGTATACAAAGAGGGTGGTGGGAGGGAGTCTGTGCAAACAGGAAAAGTATTTTATCCAGTGAGATTGTTCAGAATTTCTGAGGAATGGAGATAATAAAAAGCAGATGACTTTTAGTCAGTTTTATTCTTTTGAAGAACTCACCAACAATGAGTCCCCTTTTGGCTTGTTCCCGGGCTGATTGCTCTGCTCTCTCTTCTCTTAAGCACTTAAGCTATAAATGTCCAAAGCCTTCTGGTGCCACCCGAATATATTCAGAAACATCCACTCTAAATCCTGTATTTTTTAGGAAGTAAACCCCCTTGGTTCTCCTATCAGGAGGGCCTTCACTTTTTCTAAACCAAAGAGAGAGGCAGGGAGAGATTGAGAGTCACTGGTCTTGCAGCATCAGTTTTCTGGTTTCTTGTCATTGAATCACAAAGTTTTCTTTTTTTAAAGATTTATTTATTTATGCATACAGAAGTGGGGTACAGGCCAGAGATACAGGGGCAGTAAGAGGATTCACCAGAGACAGAGTGGGGAGCAGAACAGACAGATCTATGAAGTGTACTGCTGAGGGAAGCAGTGGGCAGGTCAGGAGAGGTCTGCCGCACCATGTGGGTCACCTCCAGGACGGGGATCAAGCTCGTGCTGAAGTGGCTTTAGCTTCCTAATGCTGTGCTTTAACCCGCTGTGCCACCAGGGAGGGCACGAGTCACAAAGTTTTTACAAGTCTTTTTAATTAGCTACTTGGGTTTATTCTAATGAAAATTACTTCCTTTATTACATGTCTCATGACTTTCTCTCCCTTTCTGTAACATTTTAAATACCATTCAGTATAAAAGAGTTTGTAATTTTTAAAAGACCTCATTTGGCTAATTATAAAAGTAACACTTATTCATTGTAGAATTTTGAAAACATTCTGAAAAGTCAAAGAAGGTAAAAATCACCTGTAGATTTAGGTGATAAATTTAACCATGGATACATTTGGCAACCTTTAAAAAATACATATAAATGTACATATTTATTTTAATGTGTGCATTTACACCATATATCCCTATCCCATTGGGATTATGCTAAAATGTCATTAGATTTATTTATAGCAGATGTTTCAAAAAAGTAACCATTACTGGAAAAAAAATATGAACTTTAAAATCCAAATAAGATTTTGAGAGATTGGGCCCTCCTTGGTGGTGCAGCAGGTTAAGGCATAGCACTCTGAAGCTGTCTGCAGCCACTGCAGCACGAGCTTGATCCCCAGCCAAGGAGGTGACCTGCATGGTAAAGGAGACCCGACTAGCCCCATCCACCTTCAGCACTGTATTTCAGAATATTTGCCTGTTCTGCTCCCAGCTCTGTCTCTGGTGAAGCCTCTCACTACCTCTGCACCTCTGGGTGTACTCCAGTTCTGTATGCATAAATAAATAAATCTTTAAAAAAAAAGACTTATTTTATTTATGCATACAAGAATATATAAATAAATACATACATAAAATAAGAATGAATGAATGAATGACCTCTGGGGCTAGGGATAGAACTTGCACTGAAGCAGCTATGGCCAGCTTGCAGTGCTGTGCTCTAACCTGTTGTACCATCAAGGGAGGGCCATAAGTAAATCTTAAAAATAAAATAAAATAGGTAGAAAAAAACGAAAGTAAAATAGAACTTAAGCGATTAGAAAAACCAAAGTAATAATAAAATTTTCTTTAAATTAATAAACAATATTAATTTACTAAGCAGCAAAGTGAACATAGAAAAACAATACGAAATGATGATTGTCTTTTATTTATTGTTTTAAAGTGTAGTAAACACTTTGTTTTATATAACAGGATCCTTATATAGTCTCTGTTAGACATTATTCTTCTGTAACCGTTTGACAGATGCAGGGACTGTAATGGAAGCATGTGGGTCACATTTCCAGTGCAACCAGCTGTGCCCTGTGTGTATACATTTCCACCTTGCACATTCTTCTTTCCCTTCCTTTCTGACTGATCTTTAGATACTATTTGAAGGTTCTGAAGTCTAGGACTGTTGGTTTTTAGGACATTCAAACATTCTTCATATTTGATTCTCCTGCCTTACATATCACTCATACATTTGTTTAGACTCCAAAAAATTATAATTTTAGGGGAATCTATATTAGTTAAAGAGAACAGCAAGCTTCAGGATCTGAAAGAAATCTGAGCTTGTGCCACGACTTAAGCACAGACAGCAGAACATCCCTGAGGTGGTGGGCAGAAGTTCTTCAACTGCTGTTTTCACTAGGCTTAATTAACTTCAACAGCAGTTTCCAAAATGGGCTGGCACACTATGGCCTGTGGGCCAAAAAAGTCTATCTTTTGTATAACCCAGGAGTTAAGGATGGTTTTTACACTTTAATATGGTTAAAAAAAATAAAAAGGAGACTATTTTGCAACATGCAAACAACAACAATAACACATGAAATTGAAATTTCAGAGTCTGTTATTTATTCAACAGCATCCACCCATATATTATCTATGGTTGGCTATGTACCACAACACAAGCTGTTTGGTTCTCAGAACTAAATACTTGCTATCTGGTCCTTTGCAGAAAAAGTTTGTGGACCCCTCCTGGATCAGGGTTAGGCATATTCTTTTTCCAGAAATATTGCTTTTTTTTCCTAATTGAAGTAACATTGGTTTACAATGTTTATGGTTTAGCGAAATAGGTTCACAACTCCTCAGATGTAATCACATCACACTCACCACCAACACACCCTCGTGCTTTACAGTTGGGTCTCCTTCCTTCTCTTTTAGTCTCAACTCTGCAGTTACATCTCTAGGATTTGTTTTGGTTTAGTTTTGTGCTATTGTTTTGTTTCTCTAGAGGCTACATAAGTGAAATCAGAAATGCTACTTATAAGTTTCCCACCAAGTTTCTTCACTCAAGATAAAGTAAATCAGCAGGCAGATGAGAATGAAACTAACTTTATTCATTTTTTCCCCCCTCCACAGTGGAGTTTTTTGGCATGTCGGGCATTGTGACTTTAGCCACCGTAGGACTGAATTTAGATTCCTTAAGCTTTAAAGCAAGGAACGAGGTCATAATTAAAAAGTAAGCAATCTATTGTGCTCTTGCTATAGCTATCATACCAGTTTAGTGCTGAAGTTGTCTGGCTAAATTAATAAAACTGAATGTCGTTATTTAACTAATAATTAATGTTTAATAATTAATTACAATATCTATGCATGTCCATCATAACTTCGGTTTATTAAATAACTCATTTTCTGTCATTATACTATTTCTTCCATCATGACCCTGAGTAATTTTCATTGATACTGCCTCAGGACTTCCTAGGGATTTGCATAATCCCCTGGGTCTTTAAAATGAGTATCCTTTTCTCCAGGGTTAGTTTTCAAGAATTTTCTTTGCTAAAATGTTTCCTTTCTGCCTATCTAAATCAATAGCAAATAAAGTTTTTAGAAGTTAAAACAGAGATTTCATTTTTCTTAGACCAGTTAATAAGAGGAATGAAGGCAATAGGTTGGAAGATCAGCCAATACTTGCTGGATCCTTAACAGAGCACTTTTTATTTCAACCAAACATAAGCCTTTATGTTTATCAAACTTTTTTCTTTAACCAAACATAAGCCTCCATGAATTGGTGGAAATCAATACATGCTCAGGGATAGTGATAGTTTTTACTTTTATTTTTGGATTGACTCCCACAGTTTTAAAAAAGCAATATTTCTCTTCTTTTTTTTTTCAAAGAAATATTGCAGTTTTATTTTAGTTATGTAAGGAAATGAAGCCACTTATGTAAAGATAATTTTCAGCATCAAGTACTAAGTGAAATGCTGCCAAACTGCTTATATGGTTAAAGTTGATATCCTTAAAATTTATACCAAAACTATATGCAAAAACCTTAAAAGCTTATGAAATTAAGCAGGAGATATAAAACTATAGATTTATCTGTATATAGCTAAAAAGTGAATGGCTTGGAGTTCTCCTCCTTTAAAATATCATTCAGTTCCTAATGGCTGATTTTTGTTCCCTACATTTTTCTTAAAAAACAATATTTCTTATAGGAATTTTGATTCCAACATTTTGATCACAAGCTTATAAATTGAGTTTTGCCAAGATATTTGAGTCACGAGGCCCTGCCAGCTGTGCCAGCAGTTTTATTGGGATCACTAGAGTGTTCACTGCCAGAGTGGGCAGGCTTCACTCATGACACAAGCCTAATGCATTTAGCCACAATGTGAATTTGCTGGGAGAACACACATTATAATAATAAAGACATCCAATTTGATTGACAGTGAAAGCAGGAAGGTAATGAACATACTGGCAAATTTTGGGAGACTGGGAAGGCAGCAGTGCCAGGCTCAGAGTTCCTGGCATGCGCCATTTGTAGGGAGGGTAGAGTCTCTGAGGACACACGACTGGAGATTCTAGGCTAATGGGAATGACGTCCATAAGCATTTTCCGTTGCCTTCAGCTTGATATTTATAACACTTTTCAGGAGCCTATTATCAAAACCATTTGTTAATTTTGATTTAGGCAGGGCCTCTCTGCGTAGCAGGTTTTTATCTTTTACATTTTTTTTTATCAGTCTTCATAAACCAACTGCTGCTTTTTTTTTTTTAAGATTTATTTATTTATGCATACAGAACTGGGGTACAGGCCAGAGGTGCAGGGGCAGTGAGAGGATTCACCAGGGGCAGAGGGGAGCAGAACAGGGAGATCTTCGAAGTACACTGCTGAGGGGAGCAGCAGGCGTCAGGAAAGGTCTGCCGCTCCAGCTGGTCACCTCCAGGGCAGGCGGGGATCCAACTCATGCGGAAGTGGGTTTTTTTTTTAGCTTCTTAGTGCTGTGCTTTAACCCGCTGCGCCACCAGCGAGGGCCCAATTGTTGCTTTTTAATTAATAACTTAAATTGCTATATTTTTAATGCCCCGCCTTTCGGTCAGTCAGGGTTATTACAAAGTGAATACAGATAACCTCTTGATCAGCGGGGGTTATTACAGTATCAGTACATATGACGCATGGGATCAGACTTGTCTTACAAAATTTTTAGGATTTCAGTAGATGAGAAAATAGACAGGAGAAACTTTCAAGGCGAGGGACATTCATGCAAATCACAAAAAGTGTCTTTCATCTTTTGGCATGCAAATATTTTTAGCTTAAACAAATATTTTAAAATGTTGATTGCTAAAAATGATGGATCCTGGAATCTCTACTAGGGCAAGAATGTATGCTAATTGCTTTATGTAAAAAAAAAATTTAGAAAATGCATTGCTTAAAATGTAATTTCCTTTCATTCTTCCTAGGTTCCTAATGATGTTTTCATCTATATACGAACATTTAATATATACCTTCTTTGGCATTGTAATTGGGTGTGGAGACAACATGTATTTAGGATTTCACACTATAGTTTTCTTAATTATCTTATTTGCAGCAGTGAATCTTGTAAGGTAAGAATTGTATTTTTTTTTAAAAGATTTATTTATTTATGCATACAGAACTGGGGTACAGGCCAGAGGTGCAGGGGCGGTGAGAGGCTTCACCAGAGACAGAGTGGGGAGCAGAACAGGCAGATGGACGAAGTACACTGCTGAGGGGAGCAGTGGGCCAGTCAGGAGAGGTCTGCTGTACCATGTGGTCACCTCCGGGGCAGGCGGGAATCGAACTCATGCGGAAGTGGCTTTAGCTTCTCAGTGCAGTGCTTTAACCCGCTGCGCCACCAGGGAGGGCCAAGAATTGTATTTTAAAGTTTGCCTACTGGACTTAGTTTTCAGCCCAGAATTAGAACTGTGAATCAGTGAATTTTAGCAGAGGCATTGAGGGAAAGTCAGGAAATCTGCGTTGTTGCCAAGATCCTGACAATGGCTTGCTCTGCAATTAGGGGAAAGTCCATTTATTCTATAAGATTTCATCTGTAAAATGAGAAAAGGCAGAATAAGTAGTATCAGCCTAAACTGAGTTTGATGGAATTGCAAATTCATGGACCAGTTAACCTAAAAATTCATGAGACAGTTAAAAGGCAAAGTGCATTTTGGGGGATCAAATAACTACAATTCAGGGTATACAGAGTCAAGTAGAAAACTTTAAATGTGACAAGGAGAGATAAAACTGGGGAATTTTATGGGAGGAAAAGAGGAAGATGAGGTAAGTGGTTCAAGAAAGTAGGTGGTGGAAAGTGTTAAAAACACTATTCTTTGCTACACATAATTTGTTGTTGATTCTCTAGAAAGAATGAAAAAGCAACTGATTCCATCCTCTGAGTAAAAGTCTATATTGATCAATTCTCTTGCTCAGGAAAACTTGAAATGATTATCTGTTTGATATTTTTTTAAACCAGTTGCCTTCCATCCAGTCCTAAGGTCTTTAACCCAGTTTAAACCATACATTTCTCTGCAATGGCTCCTTTATGAAGAATGACTTCACAAATATCATCTTTTCTCAGACTAATCCCAATTTACTAAATTTTTACAACTACGAGCCATGAAACTGTTTCAATGTGTTCACTAAAGGTTGAGTGACACAAGACTAGATTAATGGTGCCTAACATTTTTATTGATTTTCATCATCATTTATTATGTTAGAGCTGTTTATTAAACACTTACCATGTGCAATAGCATTAATAGAATTATAACCCTATGAAGTAGGTGTTACTGCATCATTTCCCAGGTGAAACCCAGAGAAGTTAAAAACTTACATAGGGTTACCCAACATGTAAGGGCAGAGTTAGTTGGCACTTAAACTCGATTTCCACTAGCATGGTTTTTGTTTTGTTTTTTATAATACCATTGTTCACTCATGGAGATTGTGTCTTCCATGAGAATTCATGACAGTGCCTCTGAAAGTACTGTTGTTTTCACTCAGGTCAGAAGACCAAAGGGACTTATTCTGTAAGATGTTCTCATGAAATGTTGCTTCTGCTGATCCTGAAGTCATTTCATGCAACTCTTACCAGAAGGATGTGTTACAGATCTGCATGAAGAATAAAAGTTACCACTGTTAGGGCACAAAGGAAAATGCTGCTATCCTTTTGGGTTCTTCTCAGGCTGGTCAAATAATTAAAACAGCATCCGATGTGTTGGCAGAGGAAAAAAATCAATTTAATATATGCAATGATTATACAGACCCCAATCTCAGGGAGATTAAGTTATTTCATTTGCAATTTATATTTCTTTCCACCATGCAGCTCATGTGCAGTTGAGATTGGTCACAGGTATAAAGATAGTTTTCTGTATATTACTTATTTCAGCTACACATACATTACTCATTTTATCTTCACGATAGCATCAGGAGATAAGAGTTACTATCTCTATTTTATAAATGAAGAAAATGATCAAAAGAGATAAGGTACATTGCCAAAGGTCACATGGCTAGTGAATGAGCTTATGGTTCCTTCTCACTACCAGAAAGATTTTAATGAAGGGAGTTATCCTCAGGGGTCCTCAAAGTGTGAGTGGGGTTTTCCATAAGAAATTTGTTGAAAAAAACATTTCAGAATGGATGAACTAAACAGAGACCTGGTTATAATAATCATTGCTAATGTGTACCAATTGCAGACCACACTCAAAACATCATTTAGAACCTTATGAACAGTGCCTAAGTATAATTATTACTGATGTCATCTCCATTTTACAGATGAAGAAATAGGCTAGGGAAAACTGAGTAACTTGCTTAAATTTATATTGATACTGAAAGAATCTCCAGTTTGAAACCTGGTAGATTGGCGCCACTATCTTTGCTATACAGTCTCTCTGTGTCAGGTGTGAGGAAATTATATAAATTATTTATTTCAGACAAAGACTAGTTAGTTAGGCTGAGAAGGTTGGCAAGAATTGCTTTATAAAAGGTTTTATCTGCAAGGCAGAAGGTTTGCTTATATTAACTGTGCATTGTTGATGCTTATTGAAGATTTATGTTTCTCAATGATAGAAATTCTTTCAGTTGCTTTGTGAGATTTCCAGCAGAGACAGTGTTACACAATATATTTTTTGAAGCTGAGAACACCTCAGTATTATTTCTGCTAAAATCTTTTGAAGAGCAGTATTTATATTCCTTAGGTGCAGATTTCCTAAAGATAGATTCTAAATCTGGCACAGAGTTCTACAGAAAAATGATTTGTAGAGGAAGAAGACAGAAATTGGAATTACTTATACGACAGTGTATAAATCTTTTTTTTTAATTTTTTTTATTACAAAGTTTATTTTTACATCATTTTGCACATTTTTTTTT